GAAGAGGAGATCCCATAGCAGGAATAAGCATTATTTTAGCAGTGGTATTTGGATGAACACAAGTTACTTATGAAGTGAATTAAAAAGTTTTTGCATTGAACCTCCCAATATAATAATAACAATAAGTTTATTTATGTAGTACCTATTATAGTTACCATTTTGGAGATACAAAAAAGGGTTTTTGTTCTGACAGTGACTATTTGAAGAAATACGGATTAATTTAAAGAAGCTGTCCTAATATGTGTATGTGGTATTCAGTGTTAGGATTTTATGAGGTTCAATTATGAAAGATTATTTAAATCAGCTTCATATTTAAGTTTATAATATGGGCATAAATGTTGAGAAGATGCTACGTAAAATTTTGATTCAGCTGCGCTTTAATCTGTTCACCCGATTCATTCGAAAGAATGATTTTTTGATGACTCTGACATCACTGTCACATATTGGCCCTCATAGAACGCCTCTCATCCAGTAACACTGCAACACTGTTACTAGCTATGGTGTAGTGAGAATCTGCATGCGTCAACTTTTCACCTAACAGTTGCCTAACAATAGACTTTGAGCACCATCCAAATAAAGTCCCCAAACTGCACTTTGAATTATCTCTGCCGTTGTCACGGAAACCACTTTTACACAACTTTCACAATAAGACAAAAGTTTGCACTTGAGTTGACTGTAATTGTTGCACTTCAAAGCCCTTTACGCTTCTTTCTGCAACAATGCTGTGCATGCAAACCCTGAGGAGCGCAATAAAACTCACACTCGCAGTTTCATTTTCTCTCTTTCGTGCATTGAACTGTCGTCAGCTCTTGTCACCAGTGTAGTGTCGACAGCTTGGGCTTGTAACTCCGGGCCTGGGCACTGGGCACTGCTTTTAAAGACAGGAATTGGAGCTCAGACTCCATTTACAAAGAGCTGTTGGGACAGACTGTGCTCCAAAGCTGATTCATAGCCACCCTCACACCTGTCCAGCTGTGCCTTACAGCAAAGCAGCCTGTCCTCATATACTCCCCCAGCTCTGTCTCACAGCCCACTGATGACATTAATCGGCTCTCATTAAACCAGAGGATGTAGGAGAGGGTTATCTGAAAACTCTGCATTCAACAGGCCTGCAAAAATGCATCAGTGTGTCATGATGCGTATATCTGAAGATGCCGATTCGAACGCTCTGACTATAATCAATTGTGACATTTAATAAAATTATGCACATTTTTAAGCTTTGTATGTTGAAAATAAACGTTGTAAATTCTACTACTGTGTAAATATTCCTCCAGTCACATTGGTATATTCAGGGTACTGTTACAAATCATTTTCAGTCATACCAAAATAAATGAATCAAGTCGGATCATGGAGAAATTTGATGCAATTAATTGTTTCCAAAAGTATCATAATAGAATTTGAGATTTCATGATGCACTGAACTGTTTCTTAAAGAACCGTAATAGAATTTAATTGTGGACTTCAAGATTTCATGATGCACTGAATCATTTCATGAGCAATTATGATGAAATTGGTTTGTGAACTTTAAAATATTCAAATCAAATTTTGAAGTTTGGGATTTCATTATGCATTAAATCATCTTCTAAAGAATCGCAATCAAATCAAACTGTGAACTTTGAGAATTCATGATGCATTGAATCGTTTCATGAAGGATCATTATCAGATCAATTTGTGAACTTTAAGATTTCATGATGAATTGATTCATGTCCTAAAGAGTTACAATCAAATCAAATTGTGAAGTTTGAGATTTCATGATGCATTGAATCATTTTTAAAGGATCCTAATCAAAACAAATTGTGAGCTTTGAGATTTTCTGGTGCGATTCATCGTTTCCTAATAAAGTGTAATCAAATCAAACTGTGAACTTCAAGATATCATGATGCAGTGAATCATTTCCCCATGAATCATAATCAAATCAAATTGTGAAACTGTGAGATTTCATGATGCACTAAATTCCTTCCTGAAAAGTCAAAATCAAGTTGACTCATGACAAAATTAGATCATTCATGATTCCATGAATCATTTTTTAAAGAGTTGTAATTAAACAGAATTGCTGTGAGATTCACACCTTTAGTATTCATCACAGAGAAACCTGCACTAGGACAGTGTGCTGTACAGGAGGCCAGCCAGGCCTGTGAGTGTTTCAGTGGAATTATATGCACTTTTTCTGTTGATCAGCTTTCTTTTATTATTATGATGAGTCCCCAGATACACATATGTTGCCCTTCTGCTGCTGTATTTCATGTTCAAACCCAGTGTTGAACTCTGGCTTGAACTCAAATGGCAGCACTGCTGTATACTGGGTAAACAGATAGGGGAGCTGTCACATGGCACAACGCTGACCTACATCTCCCCAGCACACATGACTCTACAGTAAGAGACACTCTGTGTTTAACTCTATACAGTGCTATTGTTTACTAAGTAATCTCCTTTCTGCTTTCTGAGAACTTTAGTGTGCTCTCAAATTGCCCTACATTGCTGATTGTCACAACCTTTACTTGAACTCAGCATCTAACACTGGTCCACATTTGATGCATGCTGGGCCCTTGTTTGTCCAATATCTGTCTGCCAGTTTATCTACTTCCTCATATTATATGTTCAGTGTCACCAGTTCAATGTTTTTACCCTCAAAAGCAACTACTTGTTAGGAAACAAAGCTCAGAGAAGAAGGTGAGGGTAGTGTATTATTTTTCGAGGAGAACTTGACATCATACAGTTTAGCTCCCTCTAGTGTTAAATCAGTTAACATGCACACAGAATTTTGAGGACAGTGCGTAGCTTGTGTTGCATGATCTAACTTCATAAGGTTGCTCTGTCTGTGTGCAGAATGAGAGCCTAAGGAAAAAATCTAATCTTAAAGGGAAACAAATCTCTATCTGGGTTTTTCATTAATCTCCATGTGTTACTGCTAGTATACCACATCAGTACTTATTAGCCTCTACATTAGTGGCTGTGCTAGCAGTCAGGATTTTTAATGTATTTTTAGGTTTTCCCAATAATTTGATGTATTTGTATGCTGGGTATTGTAGTGAGTGAACAGTGATGGATGAAAACACAAAAAGAATACATATTTGTGAATTCCGTCAAATCACTGAGCTTAAGGAATGCAGTGCTGCACTATAGACTATTAAATAATGTGACAATTAACATGTTAATGCCAGATGCAAATATCAAATGCAATCATATTGTCATAAATAAATGAAGGATTTCATTCCAGAGCTCTTTAAAGGCCACTTTCATTAACACCTTTTTTCAAATAATACTTTGTTACACATACAAGAAATAGCAATGCTATATAATAATTAATACCATCTTTTCTTTATTAGAGAAATAGAATGTGCTTTGAATTATTCGGCAGCTGTTATTCTTTGATCAATTTTCAAAATACTACAATCCACAAACAAAATATCAAGTATCAAAATGTCCAAAATATGTTGCAAATACACACGAAAGTAAAATCTTAGTTTTTTAAAGATTACTACAAATTTTCTCTCATTCTGATATTTTTTTACTCATTTTGCCAGTTTTTGCTTTATTCTTTTTCTATTTGCTGATTTTTTGCTTCAGAAATTTCTCTTTTGCTTCCGACTTTTTGGCGCTTTTTAACATGGGGCGGGTCTTAGAAGAGGGTGTTCACCTGTATTTTCTATTAGTCAACTGATTTGGAGTGACAGGTCTTATGAACATGTAACCACTCAGCATTAACCACTCCAACATGCAGATACTGGCATATCTGACATGAGCAATGTTTGTCATGTTCCTTTTAAACTATTAATACAACACATGTTTATGGGTCCTATGTTGACCTGTGTAAAACAATATACCTATTATTTTGGGCACTGGTGAACATAAACTTAGCCGTTTATGAATGAACAAAACTGTACCACCTTTCAGGTTTGCGGATCCTAGCGCTAACTAGCCTAGCAGTGTCCTCTAGGGCTAACTAGGCGAGCCATAGTGGTTTAAATATCTAAAGTTACGTCACTGTATTAATGTGTAGACAGTGATTTGGAGCAGCACATTTTGTACACTGACATGCTGCACTAGGAAGCCTGTTTCAATGACTGACATGTTACATTAATAAATATGACAAACATTGCTCATAATGGTGAACGTCAGCGCCATCCTCTCTTGCAATGCTACACTCAGTACAAGGTGCTAAGCCATGTTTGAGGCAGATCACTACTCACGGAGGGGGCATGGCTATGTCTTCAGAAGACCTGTCACTCCAAATCTGTTGACCAATAGAAAGTGCAGATGAACGCCCTATACTAAGACCCTTCCCCTATTAAAATGTGCCAAAAGTCAGAAGCAAAAGAGCGGTTTCATAAAAAAATATATATATATCAGCAAAATCTGCAGATTAAAGAAAAAGCTGGCAAAATAAATAGATTTTTTTTTTGGCATCAAATTCGACTTGCACTCAAACTACAATATGGACACTAAGAAGGAAGGGGCACAAACGCGCTAAGTAGGGCCAACAACAGCAATCTAATTCAGGTTTGTCCCTTTGTACATTTGATCTGAGTTTGCTATTTGCATGGATAGTGAAAATGCAAATCCTGTGGTGTCCTCCATTACATTGTGTCACCCTAATTAGCTGTAGTCGGACATCTATCAGGTGTTGTCTGTGTTTTTTCTTTTACTGTTGGTAATGCAGGCTGTTTCCACAGGAATGACAGGTTTCATTTCATGTTATTTCCTTCATCTGACAGCTCCGTCTCTGTACTAGGACTTGTTATATACATTTATGTCAGAATAAGAGAAAATGAGTAGTAATCTTTTAGGAAAAAAAGTGTTTGACAATGGCAACATATTTTGAACATTTTGGTACTCAACATTTTGCTTGTGGATTTGATTATTTATTTGAAACCTTGGGCACAAAATTAACTCTATGGATATACAGTAATTTGGAATGAAACCCTTCAGATGTTTCTTATCAAAAACCCTTTAAGACAAATTTAGGGACACGTATAGGAATCAGACAGCCATAACCCAAAGAAACATTACACCCAAGTCTCTTTATTTAATCTTTTTTTCTGGACAGTAGGCCTATGTACAAAATAGCTGTATTTACAAGAATGACCTCACAAAAGCATGGACAGGTCACATGTACAGTCGTTTGATAGGAGCATGTAGCAATGCTTGATTCATACCCTGTTTAGAGCAGCACACATTTCGTGCCTTTTTTTTTTTGGCATCAAATTCGACTTGAGCTCAAACTACAATATGGACGCTTGAAGGAGTAGAAGGACCACAACTCACCACAGAGGGGCACAAAAGCGCTAAGCAGGGCCAACAACAGCAATCTAATTCAGGTTTGTTCCTTTGTACATTTGATCTGAGGTTGCTATTTGCATGGATAGTGAAAATACAAATCCTGTGTTGTCCTCCATTCCATTGTGTCACACAGATGGAACTGACTTATATGATGAAGCAAGATAGAGTTGAGGTCCTGTCATTTACCTGTTACCTGTGTATTTGCACCTTCATTTTTAGAACATAAACAGTGAACAGTAAGGATTATTTAGGCCATGTAGTGGCCATGGAAACAACCAAAGACAATGCAAAGGCAGTTGATTTAAGCCATCATTTTTCACCAATGAACACATGTATTCCAACATGGACTCAAAGTTAACATTCGTACCTACAACTAATTCACACCTTCATTAACCGTTGACATTTCTGACAGTAAGGCAACTCCAAACCACATACACTGGACCGCTTTGTGCTGGTTATTTTCAGTGATCTACTCATCTTCACGTCAATAAGGGCACAAGACGACTGATTTTGGCATTACTGAGGTTTAAAAGCTAGGGCCGGTTCTCTGGACTCAGAATAAGCAGAGTCCTTGGCTACAAAACCATTTTAAAATATTCTGAATGGAAAAATCCCTATTTACAATGTAAATCTGAGACCAGCCTTACGCTTATGCAGATTACAGAGGCTGAGCTTTACCATCCCACATAAATATATTTTACAATATCTTATCTCAAGCTGCAACAGTAAATGTTTTTGTCATTTATGACCATTTCTGCTGGAGGTCTGGCAAGGAGAGTCTAGAGATAAAGAAATTAGGCACACATTCAACCTCCAAATCTTCTTTAAAATTACAATCTTCACAGATCTACTGGACATACGTCCGAACACAGAACAGAAAGTAACCAAGACAACAGCTCATACTCTAGTGAGCATGACACACGACGCCAAGTCTACAAAAGAACTGACAATATGTTGTGTCTGCTGTACATAATTAAAAAGAATAAAATAATTCTTTTGCTCAAGAAGAACAGGGACTTAAATAAAGGACATTTTTAACTATAGACTGAAACCAAGACCCTGGCATGTTGGGAGCAAGCTGTGATCTTGTTAAAAAAAAAATCAAGAGTTCAAGGCAAAAATACGTACTGCAACATCAAAGCTCATAACATATGCTACAGTTAGTCACTCGGTGCTAGCTGGATGCACTCACTGAATTCGATTTTCGTGCAATATAAACATGGCATAAATCACCCGTTTGATGGTTAAGGCAAGGCATTTGCAAGTGAAGTCTGAGTAGCGATTTTAAAGAATATTCACTCCATATCCCTAATTAGCTGTAGTTGGACATCTATCAGGTGTTGTCTGTGTTCTTTTCTTTTACTGTTGGTAATGCAGGCTGTTTCCACAGGAATGATAGGTTTCATTTCATGTAATTTCCTTCATCTGAAAGCTCCATCTCTGTACTAGGACTTGTTATCCTGGAACATTGTTAATGTGACATCATTAACAAAAAAATCACTGTAAGCTGTAAGCAGCACAAACAATTTAAACATTATCAACAGTGATTACCACAAGCAAAGACCAGACGACAAAAAGAAACATGCCCATGTCAAAAGCTTCAGAAACATTTCAGTCAGCTCTGTCTGTTTGGTCCTTGTGGGAGAACTGAAAAAGCTTCTGCTCAACGCAGTGGAGATGTTTCTTTACTTGGAGTCCAGGGAATTCAACATGGTGCAACTTTAGGACCCTGCACAATCCATTAACGAAGCCATTCACCAAGACGATAAACAGGTAGCAATCTTTTCTACATGGACACAAAGCCCACACTGATTTACTGCAGGGACTAAAAGCATTTCAGACATCAGAACAGAAAAGATCCTACACTGAGGCTGAGTGGGGACCAAGAGAGAGAAATGACAATGAAAAGAAATTGGTGCAATGTAACTTAGGTTTCTTCATGCAGCCTGTACCCCCCTCTCTCTCTCTGTCTGTCTCTCTCTCTCTGTCTACTGCACTGGACCACCTGAGAGGTCATGGTCACATGATCATGGTCCTGTCATCCGTCACGCTGTGGCAGGCTGGAGTTATCTTCACCTTCATCATCATTGTCATCAGCAGTCATGTCCTAAACCCAAGCTCGCCTCATCTCTTTGAGGGGGGTGTTTTTCTTATGGGAATGCTGTTTAGATAAGAAAAAAAAAGACACTTGAGCAGAATGGCACTGATACGAATTCAAAATAAGAAAATGACACAAACGTTACTAAACAACTGCCTTTTTATTCTTAACATCTAAAGCTAAAAATGTTTTGGAATCCTAAGCATGTCTTTAAGGCAGAGACCTCTTTTGTAGCTACCTTCTATTGATCTCACTGTACACAGAATTGGATCATTTTTTCAATATTTTATGTGTAAAATGTTTACAAAGTTTTAGTCATGCTACATATATTCTCAAGTAGAACTTTTTTTCAGTCCATTCTAAGATTTTATTGAAAATACTGTATTGATATCGTTACACTCTTTTTACTTTTAAAGAATGCTTTAATTCAGTTTTAGTGAGGCTGTGTTGAGGGAAAGCTGACCTGTTGATGGAAATCCATGAAGCGACCAGATGGGAGAGGCTAGCAGTTCTGCAATGAAACAAAAGGTTACTAAAACCAGCCTCTCACTCACGCAACACACAACATGCAATGCAACACCTCTGTGTTTGTGACCATACATTTTGTAGAAGACAACTTTTACACCTTTGAATCTTTAAGGACCATTTTCTTAAAAGAGATACGTTCCTGTACCGTCTCGCTGCATACAATTCAAACAACATACACAAATCACAGCCTACAAATATCCGGCAAATCTTTACCACACAATGTATGCTATGTAGATTTTAAATACTGTACTGTTTTATATTCCTATTACATATTATAATATATATATATATATATAATATATATATATATATATATATTACTAACCAGCATTTTCCCAGAAAAATCAATGAGCTCGATATAATGTTAATAATCAACAGTATTTGCCATATTAAGAATTATGTTTAGTTAAATGTCTATAGTGTAATGTTCTTATGCAGTTAAAAAAAAAAAGATGGCCTAGCAGTTCCACCACAGCCCACTAGGGGGGCCACAGCACACAAAGCTGAAAACCTCTGCTGCATGTTTAAATAAAACATATTCGCTGCAGGTCAAGAATCTAATTGATCTTTCCATGATGGCTTAAATAGGTACTGTTTCTTGATCTTTTTCTTTCTTTCAATATCATAAAAGTCTAAACTCAGACATGTTGTGTCCTGATCCCTGCCTCGACTCGGACTCAGCTCTAGCTGTCTTGACCACAAAACTATTATCTAGATGAATAAGCAGTGCGGGGTCTGTCTTACCGATGTGGATTTGTGGTCATGAGATCGCTCCAGTTTGATGCGGATGTCTGTCCGGTTCTGTTCATGGCTCTTTCCACATTCTGGCTGCAGAGGCCTGCCTGTACCTGAAGAATGAACGGTCCACAATGAGCCATCACATCATATCCCTTATTTTAGTTACAGCTACAGTAATGGTCACTTTTAAAGACATGGATGTACTCTGGCTCACACTCTTACTAGTTTAAAATAATTCAAGCTGCTGTTTTTAGGGATGCATCGATACCAAAACTGGTATTGGTCCAATACTATGGTCTTTACATGTACTCAAAAAAAAATTCATCGATATCAACATTCCGATACCAGCCCAATGCCGTGTGACATAAGCCAAGTGTATGCTGCTGCGTTAATGAACAAACACAGTGAAGGAATCTCTGCTCACACAGCGAAGTGTTAGACATACACTGTGATTTTAGTCAGTTTTTAAACACACGCAGTCACAACCACTTCCAATGCAGTTAGAGATAGCTAGCTAAACAGAGGTAAAAAAAAAGCAGAATGTCTGTATGTACTGACTTCACTGTTTTGAATGGTATAAATGCAGCTCACTTTCTCAACATGTCTGCTCAGTTCTTGATGCGCAGTTTGTTGTTTAGAATGAAACAGCTTTACTAAATTTCTAAAATTTCTAAAATTGCACAGTCAACCAGCTAAACAGAAAGACTCGGAGAAGATGTAAAACTCCTCAAGTGAGCCCCTGTGGATGCATTAGCCTCAGATGTGACACCTGCAGTCACTGTGCTACAGAGACAGTTGTTTAAAGAGTCAGATGAACTTAAAAACTTTGAATCGTACTTTACTTACAGCTGAGCAGTAGCACTTTCCTGAAGTGGAACAAAACCCGTTCTTATACACTGCAGCGCTACTCAATCCAAGCTAACTAATGTAGCATAGCTAGCTAATGCACTAATGCAAATGAGCTAGATTTTAGTGATTGAACTGTCGAGGAACATTGTACTCATTTACACTAACTACTCAACTCAATATGAAACAATGGTATTGACACATTCCTTGCTGTTTTATTTCTTACTTACCAGGAGAGTTCCCCCTGCTGCTGGTGCTGACACTGCTCATATTGTCCTCCAGCCAAGTGCTGTAGGTGAAAGAGTCTCGCTTGTGTGGCGTCCCTGCTGAGGACAAACTTTCCTAAAGAAAGAAGTACACACATTCAATGTCTTATGAAGAATTGTGCTCAAAAATTGGAGACATGCTGTGTATACAGTCACAAAAAACTAACAAAACCTCATAATCCAGATATTTAGGGCTGATTAAGATTTAGGGCTGATAGATAAAGCCTAAGCCTAGACAGAAAAAGACCACTGGTAATTCATCACTGGCAATGCAGTTTACTCCAAGACTAAGCCTAATCCTTGTCCAGGAAAGAGTATGTTTTAGTCCTGAACTGGATGTCCTGCAGAGTTTAGTCCTGACCATAACCCAATACACTTGATCCAGTTAATCAAGGCTTTCAGGGCTATCTGAATATTTAAGCCAGGTCTGTTGGAAAGATATACATATTAGAGACCAAGATAGTGGATAATGTCATTCTATACACAGCTACATGAGGCCTCTTGGCTGCCATGCTGGTACTCTGTGTGCTGTAAACTGAGTGGTTATTTATGCACATAACATCAACATATTTTCAGAAATTGCAGCTGTAATGAAAATGCTGAAAGATGCTGTATTAAGAGCCTAATTATAGGATTCTAGCAAAGCAGTTCATGTGTACAAACCTGTAAAGAAATCTTTTCACTGCTTTAAAAAATTTAGGCTGAATGCAAGATTACTTTGTAAAAGATATTGGATATGTTGGATCGTAATGAAACTCCAGAAAACATTTTGTAGTCAATTACATCTTTGACTAGCTGAGGAGAATAGAGTACAATTTTTAAATAGCATTGTTGACTCTTGACAGCTTGCGTGCATGATAGGGTCTACATGATGGACATAATTTGTTTTTTTATTGATGCTAATTTACAAAACAATGATCATATTAATAAAAAAAGATGATGCTCTTTTGCTCTTGGAAGAAAACAAACCCTAAATTCTGTCACTTACAATAAAGAACTGGACATGATTTCTGGTGAGTCTATAGGGAACTCTGCTGAGGCCCTCTGATGGGTATCTAGGTCTCTAATATGTCTGTGGTTGAAAGTAAATCCAAAGTGTTAGACTGGACTGGAGTCGATCACCCTTGCATTACAGGGCTGTGCTATTTTGTAGTTAGCTGTGTGGCTCTTACCATGCCCGTGTCATAGTCCTCTGTGGCCTCAGTCTCATTCTCCTCCACCACACTGGCAAAGCTACTGGCATTCGAGGAGGAGCGTGATAAGTCATGAGCTTCAGGGATGGAGGGAGCCCTGCAGCACATGGCTGAGCTAAACAAACACACATTTCTCAGTTTTCACGGCATCTTTGCAATATACAATAGAGCCATGTTTTACTGGGCTAAAAACTACCAAATCCACACTTCAGTTTAACCCTAAGCAATAAAACATTCAAACTCTTACTGCTTTATTAGTGTAAAAAGAATCCTTATAAAAAATTTTAATTCCTGAAGTAATGAGCAGGTTTCTTACTTGTTTTAGTAACGAGGACCTCAGGTGAGCTCTGATTAGAAGAGTTTTCTGACTTGGGGTCCTGCGAAGCGTGGCCACTGTCTGGGGTTTTCTGTGTGCTGGGAGAGCACTCCCTGCTGCTGCACATGAACACACTGACCATTAGAGGGCAGCACAAGCATTCTCATTCATATTCCACCATACCACTCCAATTAGGCTCAGAACAAGCTGCCAACTACAGCTGGTTAGTAGTGTGGGAAAATACCCATCTGTTTGCAACTAGCGTGCTGAATCTCTACAATAAGCTATGATATGCTAGACCTCTAATGATAGGAATTCCAGAAGAGTTTGGTGAAAACAGAGATTTATGTTTAACATAAATCTAAAAGATACACAGTTTACATAAATATATATTTCATTCTTGGAATTCTTATTATTAGAAGTATTGCCTATTCAAGCAACATTTCTTCTGCTGTTTAAGTCATGCTACTTTAGCAGTGCACTAAGTAAATGAGTTACTGAAGCTTTTAACACATTAGAGCAGCCAGTTACGTAAAATCATTCAAAATTCAGTGGTATACCAATTTTATGTATCTGGCTGATTTCATCATGTGCCCAGTGACTGAGCATTACTAGCTTTTGTCTATGGATGCATCTCTGTGTTATCTAATGGGCCAGGCTTTTCTGAGGTTAGGGAGGAGACTTTCTATGGTGGCATCTGTACTTGGAGGAATCCATGGTGAGCCTGCCATTCCTGAGACTGACGCTGGGCAGAGACACACACAGCACTGTTCTGTCCTCTGACAACAGCGATGCAATCCTTCACCAACCACAATCACACACAAATGAAATGACACACAATGAGATATTTCTCCTTCTTTGTCCTGCTGGTACAAAGAACAAATACAAATGCAAACACGCACATCCACATCCACATACATACTTAGGTTTGTTTTTATACAATGACAGGACGTGGGCTTATACATGTGTCCCATGTGTATTATATACAGTACTGTGCAAAGGTCAGAGACCACCGTCATTTATTTAATTTCCAGTTAACTGGCCAGCAAGTACAAGTTATTAATTGTTTCAGCATCAGAAAAACCCAGGAAATATATATTTAACAGACAATTACACAGAAGCCTCAACAAGATAACTTTAGGGCAGATCTTGTCCAATCTTATCTCTAGAGGACTGGTGTGGCTGCAGTTTTCATTTTAACAAAGCAGGAGCTCACCTGATCAACTGTTTGAAATGAAGACCTGCAGCCACACCGGCCCTTTGTAGACAAAAAGGACACCCCGATTTAGTGTGTCCAACCTGCTTTTATTACAGCTTCCAACCTTTTTTTGGAGAACAGCTTTCAGCTTTTTCAAATGGATATTTTTCCACACCTCCACAGTTCAGCCTTAGAAGTTGGTTGCATTTTCTGCTTCTCACAATCCAAGCAGTGCCAAACACATTCAATGATGTTGAGGTCTGGACTCTGGAGTGGTCTAAATATTTTCTTCTTTTTTGTCTTCTCTTTTTTCATTAACAACTTTTTGACAGATCCTTTCAGGCCCATAGCGTTATGTTGTTTTCTCATAGTGAAAGGATGGACAGAAATACCTGTGGATTTTTTTAAGATCTGAAGCAAGACTGGAGCTTGATTTTCTGCTGTTTTATAAAGATAAAAGTACTAAGTTATTAATCCCCTTTTCTCTATATTCTTTAATAATTAAATAAAAAAACTCCTGTTTTTTTCACTTATTTTCCTTTGATTTTCATCTTCCATCAAATCTCCTCAGATATATCTCATGACAGCTTGTACTTCATAACCATTTTGACTGGTTTGCGATTTTTGCACAGTATTGCAAGTACCTACATGTAATAATGATATGTTCAATATGTATTTTTTTCTAACTTATATGTAAAAAGAATTTTCGGTAACACTTTCTATGAATGTCACCTTTGTAAGCATCTATAAACACATTCATAACATGTTATAATGCATTCATAAGGCATTATAAACATGGCTATAAATATTTATAAAAATGTATTACATGTTATAGCCATTCTTATTATGCATTACGAATTGTTAACATAATACATTAAAAGTACTGATCATTATAAGCGCTCATAAGTTGTATTAGTCCTCTCTAAGTAAAGTGAAGCGTACTGTACTAAAGCCTCCTCCAGTGTTAAGAGGGAGGCTTCAAGTTGAAGTATTTACTGAAGAATTAACTGAAACACTAAAACATACACAATAAAGCACATTACAGGCTTCAAATGTCAGAGTTTAAACTAGTGCTGCCATCAGTGCTTTACCCAACATGGGAAAGGCAGTGTACACCACCGTTATCTTAGTATTTGTCTTTACTTTACACTCTCCAAGCTAGGACTGACTTCTTTGGCACTGACAGTATAACATGTTATCAACACTACTTATAATGCATTATATTAACAATTTATAATGTATAATAAACATGGCTATAAAGTGTAATCCAGTGTAATTCATTTTTATAAATGTTTATAATCATGTTTATAATGCTGTATGAAGGCATTATAATATGTTATAAATGTGTTTATAGATGTTTACAAAGGTGACATTCATAGAAAAATATTACCGAATTTTCTAGCTTTTTTGATTTTGATACTGTCAGTTAGCCATGTTTTTGTCTGTCAGGATATTTTTGTCTTCAAAATGTTAAAATACAAAGATACACAGACCCACACAGACACACCTGAAAACATTCACACAATGACATGATTCCACAGATAGCGTGCTAAAACATTAGTCTTTGAGCTGGTAAGTCCTCATTAATGCCATGACCTGTAACATTTCAGACTGTACTGCTTCTGTGACTCAGCTTCCTGAGGGGCCACACAGTTCCTCACCTTTTTTCCTGCACCTCCTGGATGTTCTCAATGCCAATGGCACTGCTCCTGCGAGAGCTGAATGGGCCAGACTTTTTCCTGGTCGGGCTTTTCCCAGGAATTATCAGAGACTGCAGAAGAAAGACATCATTTGTGAGCTTCAAATGACAAGCTGTCATCTCATTTGTCAAGCTCCCACATCTCATGATATTAAAGCAGTAGTGGCCCTAAAAGAACTCTGCCCTGAACACTTTCAATACTTTCCTCATTCCAGTATAACTACAATAATAATTATTTGCTGATTTCACATTTAACTCATTTGAAATCTGCCTCCATAGTAGTTACAATCTGCTATGTCCACATTAGGCAGTAAAATGTGTCAGCGTGTGTGCCATAGTGTTTTTTGTCACTGTAATCACTGTATAGAAGAGGTACAATAATAATGTTACTGTGGGATGCACTGCGATAGTCTCTGAGCTAGTGTGAGCTCATATTCAGACCAGAATTCAGATCACGAAGCGCTTATTATTGATTACTGACAGCAATAAAAGGTGACTGCAATGTGAATTATATTCCCATTTATATGTTTGGTTGAAAGAAAACAAGATAAAATAAACTGTCGATCATTATGTTCTTTACATATAAAACAACAACAGCACTGAGAAGTCGCATTATTAGACAAAAGTAGATCAAACGGCTGAAACAGCTGTTTTTTTGCTTCAGCATTAGCTAATTAATAAGCCTTTCCTGATGGGAAATGGGTGTTTTAGCACAAGGAAAACATTAAATTATGCAGAGCAGGCGTACTCCAGGACCAGAGCTGAAAACCACTGTATCATAGTTTATTCATTGTTCTATTACGTACTTTGTCTATATGTCAGAGAACGATTGCTATTTTAAATCAGACTGTCAGTATTATGTCAGTTTCTTCGCGAACATAAAACTATGGCTTTTTAGAACAAATGGAACTTTTTTGTGCTGATTTGTCTTCGATCTCAAACTGTTATCAAAATGGCATGCACTCTGACATCTCTGGGAGAATAAAAGCCATTGATCTGTGTCTGGACCAGCAAGGGCATCACTAAATTGTGCTCTCCGGGGCTACAGGCTCAAACTACAGCGGCAGGTCTCATGTATGACTATGAGATGAAAGATAGAGGCCAGACTCGTGGGCTTCAGTGAGCTGAGCTTTCACTGTGGGCGCTTTGTTCTCTCTGTCTGTGCACCAGGGGCTTTAGCGCTCCCACTTTACAGCTTCTAAAATATGACTTGAAAAAGCCTTTTATCTCAAAAGGCTTCAAAAGCTTTGGGGAGAACTAAGTCAGAATTCGGGTTTACCCCACCCGTCACGTTTCTATGCTATCAGACTAAAAATACAATACAATTAGCAGACAAGAGCAAAGAAATACACTGAACTATACATACCACAGCACAGACATTAGGTATGCAGCAAATGAATGTGGGACATTGAGTGGAAGGATTTGAAAAGCAACACAGTGATGTTTTAAAAACAGGGTGATGCATTAAAGACGAGCGCTAATATTGTGAAATGCAACTCAATGGTATTTCCTCTGAATGATGACATATTCTGAAGAAAGTATAATCATCTTGTATGGATGTAATGTATGAGTGCAAAGAGTTAATGGTAGAGCGAGTGTAGTAAGGCTTTGAAGGCATGCCACAGAGTTGCCACTTGTAATGGGTCATGCATGATTAGTGAGAGAATCCAACATGAGCCGCAGGCCACAGATGGTGTCTATCGGCAAAATATTGCTGTGAAGAGCAAAAGAGTAACCTTGATATTGGGTAGGGATGGGATGATTCCTATGTTAATATTACTTAATAGAATTGATATGCTTTAGGTATTAACCTTTATTGAACCTCTCATTTCTTTATAACACAAAAAAATCAACCACAATTGGAGCCTTTCGAACTGAAAGCCTCGGCGATCCATTCTGAGAATTTGCCGATGACCTCTTAAACTTGTTTAAATCTGCCGCCAGAGGAGTTACGCCACATGCAAATCCATGCAGGAGAAAGTGAAACATATTAGCATGTAGAATCTGAGCATGTTTATATCACTGCATAAAAGATGTACAAGGCTTCCTTTATTGCTGGATGCATTATGATTTTTCAGAGCTCACTTGCAAACGGCAAGCGCTTCTTATTATTTTGTTTGATCCAGGGGTCTGCAACCCAAATTTTAAGAGCCATTTTGTACTTTCAACATAAATCAAATCACACTGGGGGCCACAACATTTTATGTCCATTTTATTGAAGTAACGTTTTACCATCTTGGCTGTAAGTATGTCTCAGTATGTGCTGATGTACCAGTATAGGCTAAAGAAAAAATGATATGAACAAAACCCCTTATTTTGCTCTGCTTTACGCTTTAGCTCAGCTATAGCTGCTTCTCTCACATTTCCAGCAAGATATGTTTCAACAAAAATAGAATAGTTTTTGTAAAATGTCTCTCAGCGTTTGATTTTTTACAAGGCTGAAGTCAACTTCTCATTTGACAGCTTTGCCTGAGGAGCCAGAATGTAACTGCTCCAACATTTAAGGTGGAACGAGAAAATTCAAACAAGAAGCTGGAGAATGAGAAGCTGACTTCAGCTTTGCAACTTTTTAGAGTTTGACAGTTCTTTTGCAGATTAAATGTATCAGGAAACCAGCTGGAGTGTTTATAAATGCAAATAAGTCCATTCATCTCTAAATCATCAATATTCATCTTAAATGTTTCTCTTTGCCTTTTCTTTAGCTACTAGCTAGGCAAGATTGTTGTCATTGCTATGGTGACCAGCAGTGTGTGTGCCAACCTTCAGGGTTAAAGGATGAATTAGCTGTTATGGGCTACATTAACTCCAGTGTTTAAGACCATTTATTCTTAAAACTGTGTTAGAATGATTAGCAGAGCTTTATTTTACTGCAAAGTAGGATAATTTTATTTACCTAAAAAACTCCGGAGCTGCAAGTTGCCGACCCCTGGTTTTATCAGAGTAATGTTAAAATGCTGGTGTATGACTTTTATTCCTTCACATGTGCTTTCTTATTCAGAAAGGTAGTTTGTGAGAAAAAACTAAATATATATCTTTCGAAATTTTCAGTTTGTTAGATCATGTTCTTTAAACGCAACAACAGCTTTGAGAAATAACACTATTAACACAGATCAGCAGATTAACAGCACAAAAAGCCATGTTTTTCTGTCGATCTTAAGAGGTTAAATAAATATGAAATGATCACCTTCACTATTACTGTTCACTGTCCGTAACTATATTTATGTGTGCTTTGCAGGGTAGGAGTAGAGAGTTTACTTTAACCATAACTTTTCAACAGATGGTAACTGTACAGACACTACAGTTATTATTTACATCTGAAAGCAGCATGGATATCGCTGAATTTTATACCACACCATGTCATTAAAACTAGTAACCATCCCATCCCTAGTTGATGATAAATTACAAATGCTAGACTACAAATAATTTAAACAAAGCCAAACTAAAGTACTCCATTGTTATGGTGTGAAATTGGGTAATTCAATGAGGAGTATGATGTCTTATCTGCCTTTACAGAGTTGTGGTAGTGTATGTGCTGCTCTGCTAATGAGTGTAGGTCATGCGGTGAGAGTGAGAGATGCAGTGAGAGAACAGAGAGTGAGAGTTATACATGAACCTCTTCTATCGTTCCTATCCCTATGGCACTGCCGCGACGTCCATATTTACTGGGACTTTTCCCTGGGACAAGCAATGACTGCAGAGGGGCCACACAAAGAGAGAGAGGGAGAAGGGAGAGAACATGAGTTGTCATGCAGCAGGTTATGTTATTAAATCACACAGGCCAGCTGGAGGGTTTGATAACTCTAAAGCACGGTTAAACAGTTCAATGGCCATCATGAGCACAACACAGCAAATAGATGAAGAGAGAGGAGCCTGAGGAGCCATGTTGGGTACAGAAGCCTGTGAGGGACAAGAGAGCAGAGAGTAAAGCTGAGGAGAGGAGCAGACATAGCACACTGTTAGAGACACCAGGACAGTGAAGACAAGGTTTTATATGCAACATATAAAGGATATGTGAGCACACTTACATATACTTTAGCACAATTAGTGATTGGTTAAGAGAACCAACACAGGTTAGTTTTACACAAAGAAACATTTGGGTTTAACCATGTTTATAATTCACATGCTGTTAAGCTCTGGTATATCCTGCACTCACTATGTAACAGCTGTTTTTCTTTTTTCTTGGGAAGATATTTATAGAATTAGGATTTCCCAGAATTCCAAGCACTCATTTGACTACATAGGCTTACGCAATGCATGGCAAAGATGACTGTGACATAAAGCTTCGGGCAAAGAAACCCCATTGGAATCTTCAACCTTTACCAAGGTCAGAGCATCCATATGACTGACATGGCATTTGAAAACACAGAATGTGTTGGTCAAAAGACATAGTGGAGCCAGTGACAAAAACAACACAAACACAGCAATTTGATCTCATATGTCTCCCCGCGGATAAAGCTGATGCGTGGACGTTTCCAAGCACATGGGGGACCTGGTCAGAAAGGACACTGTTTGTGACAGCTGTAACAGTCCTTATGGCTGGCAGGAGCTCCATTAGACCAGCTGTGCTTTGTGGAAAAAAACCCTGACCTGTATATACTCACCATACACAGCAAAGCACAGCTCATCAGCACCTCATGCCTGTGGACAAAACAGCGGAGCAGCAAAAACTGTCCAGTGCTCACTCAGACAAAAACATTTACAGCTCACTCAGCACGTTGTGATGCAGTCTGCGCACACACACAAGGCTGGTGCTTCAGGGAATGAAGTGAGGCAAACACATTCACATCCATCTTCATTTTGATAGACCTTCAAATCCACTCAAGGTTCAACATTAACAACTGCCTGATTGCCTGGGGCAAGTAAAATACTAAGTCGGGACAGCAGCATTCAGCCATAGGGTTCTTTTGACACTGAACAATGTACGTGATATTGACTTTCACATGCAAATATACCTTGCTGTGATGGTCTAATCCAGTTGTATGTTGAGTTATATCCAGCCAATCGTACTGCTTGTTGGTGGTGTTTGTAGTGACAGAGCAAGTGAGAAACTATTCCTTAAAAGTAAAAATAGGTTCCCGTAGGTCAATTTTGCTCCATCCGACATTTAGTTCAAAAATATTATAATAGTCCTAGAGAGATGTGTGTATGTGTACTTATATTTCAAAAATCTTTTTTACAGCAAAAATTTGTTAGGGACAGTGTAAGCTCTGACTGGGCAAGTTGGGAAAATGTTAATGTTGAACCCTGCTGCCTCACAACCGCTTAGAAGAAACACTACAGAATAAAACAAGATATAAACATTTTTAATGAGGTAACCTGCTAAAAAAATTAACAACTGAACCTTGAATTCTTCACTCTTAAATGCTTTCTTTCATAGCAACTGTTGCACGTTTGACAAGCTTTACAGAACATTGACAAAATACCTTTTAACTTAATTAGAAATTATAACGCAATGCTGAATTTTTGGTCAAAATATGTAAATTCAGAGCATATTATTCATATAAATTATGTATTTTGCATGTGTATGAAAGGTCACACTGTTAGGATATAAGTATATAAGTAATGTTAGCATTGTATCAATTTGTATGTCATTGTTCATTTCATTCTGATTCAATTAGCTATAGAACCACAGTCCTACTCATTAGCTCAGTTCCAACGTGAGTAATTTATGTTTAAACTGAATTGTGCATTACAATTTGCATGGTTTATGGTTTAACCCCTTAAATGGCCAGGGCCCACTGTTTACACACTTCTTTAACCTAAGATCAGCCAGTTTGCACTGAAGTCCCCGTAGTTACTGAATAATAAGGCTTAGTATGTAACAAGCCGGAGATTTTAAAAGGTTAACATTAATGACTGCTCAATTGCCTGCAGCAGGTAAAAAACTTATTTCTTGCACAGTTTTATAAATGTCATGCCTTTTGGCTTCACCACCACACTCTCCTCTTTGGGGGACTCCTTTATTATTTGTGATATGAAAATACATCTAGTCTATACGTAATCTATTTGAACTTTTGCAAAAACGTTGTTGTGCCCTATTTCTCATTAGGATGTACGTATTTTTTGCCAACACTCTGACCAAACCTGCCCAATCTAGCAACTGTTGCTATAAAAGAAATTATTTGTGGGCAGAGCATGGATAGTTCAATAAAGTAACTGCCTGTAAAGACCCAAAATGTTACACCTTTAAAATCCATAAATTCATATGATCCCAAAGCAATAAGCAACTCACTGCAGACTGCTGTACACTGCAGCAGTGGACACCACATGCTTGCTAAGAGCTCTGAACACATTTCATAAAACAGGCAGTTCATATCAGAGCACCTGAAAGAAAAACACTTCTCTCTGGCTGGACATTAGACTGGTTCCCTGACTCATTAGACATGTTTATAATATAGTAGCTGGGCAGTTAAACTAGATTACTGTTAGATGACGTGAGCAAGGCCAGAGAGTGTGCTCTAGTAAGTGAGTTTCAAGAAACTGCTTGTGGCAGTGTGTCATTAGTAAGACAAGGGAAGTATCAGATTACGAATACCACAAAAAGCATGGTAAGATGCACAAATAATGTAAATAATGTGTATCTAAAAACATTAATTTTACTGGCTTCATTTGTAGATTAATCGTTAACCCTTAGAAGCTGCAGTTATTGCCAGCAACAACAAAGGCATGTTGTAATTAGACAGCTATTTCACACTTGTAGCTCACTGAAAGAAGCAGACATTCTGTCGAAAGAACGAATTTGAAATTTTGACACCACAGCTGTGTTCATAAAAGAGGGAGACGTTATTATGAATTGCATTTGAGTGAGAAAAGTTGTTGTTTTGTGTACAGCCTTTTTTTTTTACACAGAACGCAAACAGAATGTAAAACTGATTTGTTGTCTAACTCATTATGCAATTAAATATGTAATTATGTGATTACATTTGAATAAAATAGCAAAAAGAAAGTAATAACTCTTGACTTCTAAGGGTTAGCTTCTGTCTTATTTTGTCTGTTCATATCACCTGTTGACTGTGTTGGACTATGTTTAGAGTGAATAAGTCTGTTTGTGTGGGCTGCTAAGGCAGTGTAAACAGGACTTTGTGAGGCTGATTGTGTTAAAGGGTGGGACGGGCAGGGGGCAGCAAATTGGGAGTGAGGGTGCTTAGGGTGGAGGTGAGGGGCATCATTTGCCTTTGGGGGTTACTTACTATCCCGGGCATTTTGGGGGTCTCTGGTGAGTGCAGGTGATGGTTGTTGTTGTTGTGGGTAAAACTGCCGCTGTGACTAGAGGAGACTGTGTGCTTCCTGATATTGAAGCCCATGGCATCCAGAGACTGGCTCCTGCTGCGGATCACCCGCTAAGGTCAGAAAGAGACGGGAAGGAGATACTGTGAGCCAGGGGCGGGGCCGCAGGGGAAAACACGGGGCCACGGATAATGAGGCATGGGGGGAAAAACCCTGTTCTGAATGCTCATTAGAAAGGCAGACCCTGAGTGAGGACACCTGGAGCTGGTACAGACAAGGATAAGGTCAGGAAAAAATGCAGTGTTGAAGAGATGAGCAGAGGGAAAGCTCCATGACTGTAGAGAAACTGAAGGTAAAGGTGCATACAGTATAAATAAGCAGGAAGGCTGGCTAGGAAGCCACTCAGAGGTGTGTTAGGCACTGAAGCTAGCTTTAGGACAAGACAGAGTAGGACAGCCTCTCCAAAACCCTAAGGGATACTGATTAATCACTTCACTCCTAAGTCATGTCCAGTTACAAGGACACTCAGAATCCTATTACCACCAAACAGCACCAGTGATATCAAAGAAGGAGATGTATTCAAGGAAACATCCACATCTTCTCTTTATAATCATACAATCCCCTATTTTATCTTGGTTCATGTTGTTGCTGTCCAAACAAAACCTTGTATCTCCAAAATAGTCACTTTCCGTCACTTTTCCAAGTAATTTTGGACCATCTGTCAAGAAATGTTTACACTAAGGCTGCACAATAAATCTTTTTTTTTTTTTATCATGGTCGCGATATAAGTTTCCATGATAAACACATCGATAAGGGCTGAGATAAAAAGATCTAATTATCTCACATGCACAACGCCAGACTGATTACATTGGTGGAACATGGTGTTAAAATGTCAACAAATGGTTCCCTGCCACTTCCTGGGCTTGTACTCTGCTCTCCCATGTGTAGGGTGAGACAAATACAACAGAAACATATACACAGCTCAAAAAGTATGATATCCTGAACTACTAGCTTGTAAAAATGCTTCAAACATGATGACTATTCTTAGTCCCAAAGCTGTGTTCAAAGGTTAAACTGTCACAACAAATCTGCATCACTATAAGGAGCTTTTTAAAACATTATTTAATATTTGTAGCCCATACAGAAAAAGCTGTGTAGAGAATGCTGACTGACAGCTTTACAAAGCACAAAAAATAAAAGTAGCTATTAGCATTTCATTCATCACTTCAAATTTCACACTTCACATTCTGTGAATACTGAATACTGCATGATTTTAATATTTTTTTGCAGTGAAAAGTGCTTTTGTGATTTGTAATTTTGTTTTTATTTCAGGTTCTGTACATACTGCTAATCATAGTTCATCACTTCATCATATTGTCTTTGTGATTTCCAACAGCTTTAACAAACATCGCATTTTGTGTTCATATTATGCAGCCCTTTTTTATGTAAAAGGGAAGCTGGCGAGGTTTATATATGGCAGCGATGATATAAAACTATGTATAGAAACTTACATGGGTGTTTAATTAGCAAGATATGGTCTGTTATGAAACTAATCAGGGAGATAAAAGATCAGTTTGAAAATTAGAAATGCTTACATTATGTAACTCTTCTATACATAAAAAAAACGACCCAACTAATTATAGGCTTAAGCAATTACAGCATATGTATAAGAACGCTGCCACTGATCCATGCTTCACAGAATCAATTCCATTACTCTCAGTTAAGCATCCATGGCTATTTCAGACCTGCAGTCTAATCTAACTGATATCTGAACTGAACTCTTACCTGAGCAAAGGATTCATTCATAAAGATGTACAACCGTAATCACCAGCTGATTTCCCAATGTGCCAACAGGAGTAATTAGCGCTAATTAAGGTGACGAGTGATTTCATTATGGCACTGTAAGATCTGTTGAGTGCTGATATATTGCTGAACAGTTGGTGTAATAAGGATGCTGACTTGGCATCTCCATCCTGGAGGAGGATGTGCTAATAACAAGGAGAACAACGACGCCATTCACACATTAAACGAGAAAAGACTGACTTGCTAAGCTATATGACAGCAGAATTGTGTAATGAATAAAGTACGAGTCAGCCTGACAAAAAAGAGTCTAATCTCAAAGACGTAGTGTTTAAAAATAGACCACATATAAAACCCAGCACAGCAAGTACACACTCCAGCAAGCACACCCGCTACGGTAATGTGTTCCACAGGGAGCCCACACAAAAGCAGCACAATACAGTGACCATATTATTATTATTAGGAGCACTTAGAAAGACCCAGCCACCCATAAATCAGTGCCTATATGCCAGATCATTATTAGGAGCACTCAGGGAGATGGACGGTTGTGTGGCCTTGCCCCTGGCTGTGCCGAGTTTACCTTAAATGACTCGAAGAAGCCCCCACTCCCTCCTCCTCCGTTCTCCAGCTTGTCCTCATCTCCACCGAGCCCCATCATGGCCTGACTGTTTATGTGCAACTCTTCATACAGGGTTTCCAGCAGCGCCGCCCGAGTGCGCTCCTAACCCCACACACACACAGATGCACAATGAACAGGCCATTAGACAGAGAGATTAATAAATCATGGAGAAATTATGTCTTCCTGACTCATACATATCTCGCTGTTACTAACTTACATAACATATCATTGGCAATACATCTAGACACTTTGGCTTTGTTCCCTTTAACTCATTAAAATCTGCCCTCAGAGTTAAGAGGGGGTGTGCATTTTCATGTTGGGGCATAGTAAAATGCAACACCATGTGCAATTTGAGCTTTCTGTATGGTACAACGTTTTCAATCTCTGCATAAAAGAAGCTTTATGCTGCCTTTATTGTTGGGTGCACTGCAACAGTTTCAGAGTGAGTGTGCACATACATTCAAAACTGAACTCAGATTGCTTAAGGCCTATTTCTGATTTATTTAATGAACAGACAGTTCTTTGCTATACTGCGAAATTATTTGTCAAAAATTTCATCGTTTCTTGTGGAGTCCCACAAGGTTCAATCATGAGGCCTGTATTGTTACTTTTAGGTAATGTCATTAGGAAACATGATAAGAAATTTCACAGCCATGTTGATGACACAACTAGACATTTCCATGCAGATACTGGCCTTCGGCAAATACCATAAATAATAATAAGGCCTCTTTCTGTCATTATGCTTCTGAACTGTGGATCCCAGTTACTCCTTTTATTAGAAAGACAAGCTCTGTGCACACTTGAAACATTTGAAAATGTATCTTTAATTTAGCTTTTAATTAAAATTCTACCTCTATTTTTGTATTTATTTTTTAATGTGATCTATGTCATTGCTTCATATGATTTTAAACTAATACTCCTAATTTTTATTTATTTAATTTTTTCCCTTATATTATGGGAAGCTATAATAGAAAAAAAAATCTTATACTACTGTTACACCTCATCACTAGTCTGTAAAGCACTTTGAGCTGTCACTGATATGAAAAGTGCTCTATAAATAAAGTTATGATGATGATGATGATTATAATTATTATTATTAGTGGTAGTAGTAGTAGTATTTCTTATAAGAGCAATAATAAAAGGTGACTGAAGTGTGAAGTATATTTCTATTTATTTCTTCTTGGTAAATAAGCTGCAAATTCTCTGATTTGTTAGTTTACATATCAAAAGAAATGTGATCACTGAAAATACACAATATTTAGGGAGAACAGTAGATTAAATGTCAGAAGCAGTCCATTTTTAGTCTCTACAGTCAGGGGTTAAATCAGGCTTTAAACACAGTTTTTCATAACTTACTTCCAGTTTGGCAAATTTCTCAGCTTTGTAGCAAGCATACTCAGCATTGATCAGCTTGGTGAAAAGAAATTCATGGAATTCTGGTCCCTAAGGGAGAGACAGAGAAATAAGCAGAGAGTGAACTTTATTTTAATGCTGAGCTGGGAAATGCAACAAGAAGAATGGAAAAAACCCACAATGCGCTCATTTGCATTTATTTGGGACTAAAAATACTGCCTGAAGTTAGTATGAATGTAGTCAACTTACTTTCTTGAATATGGCAGGGTCAGGTAGGGCTGGTCCAAAGAATGGGACATCATCTCTTGCGGTCACTGACACCTGCACAATGACAGTTACATGTATCCTCACTGCCATAATTTACCTTGTTACAACAATTGAAACTTACAGCTGTTCTTTCATTGTATGAACATTTTATGACAAAGGGACCAACAGAAAATAGCCCATAATGCCCTTGAATAAAATGTTCTGCATTTACATACATTAAAGTTATAAATGTTTTTACCTTCTCCTGTAAAGTTACCATTTTGCAGATAATGTTTTATTGTGGCAGCAACAATATATAACAAACTCCAGGTAGAGCTGTTTTTGGTATCAAGTAGAGCTCTTTCACAAAAATGCTAGGCTTGACCTTCAAAGAAGTCCACTAAAGGGTTTTGAAGTTCTAAGCACAAATTAGCTTCAACTTGGAGCCATGTTTTATTACAGGACAGAATGACAGAATAAGGTGAAATGAAATGTCTTTAATATTTGATCTTATTTCTCTGCTGTTCCATCATGGGAATTTAACCTACAACCTTTTGGTTATGAATTTTAATGCACTACTGCTGTCACAACTCATATCACAGCTTCCACCACTTTCTTAAAGTATTACTACCCACCACTGCTATGTTGGCATTGTACTTCAGCTGGAAAGAACCCCATGGAACGATGCAGGAGGTGAAATGTGTATTAAAGCTAGGCACTCAATAAGCATTCACATTAAAGTAATACAGTGAAAGGCTGTTTGTTTTCCAATGTTCTACCTTGTACAGGACATTGTCAGAACAGGAATTCTCCACTTGCACGACAATGTAGGCATGCAGGAAGTTAGATGCAATCATGTCTGGCACAAAGGGAGTGTTCTCTTCTTGAAACACGATGGCCACAATGTCATTTCCTATATGCCTCTTTCTCTGCAGCTACGGTATGGAGAGAAGAAGGAAGGGAGAAAGGACAAGGAAGAACAGAAAAAAGGTTAGAAAAAAGAGACAAACATCAGTCACATTTCTCTACGTTTTTATCCCCCTAGCCATTCTAGCTATGTTTGCTTATATAATTTACTCATATAATTTAATTCATGACCCACAAAATGACATGTCCAACATTCTGTTTAACATTTATGTGGATTAACTCACTCACCAGATGTTCACATTTTCAATAAAACAGCTGGAGGTTAGAAAGATATTGCTAACAATGTTGTAAAGTGTATCATATACAATTACTACTTATCATTTTTATATGAGACTAAACAAACATTTCCAGGCTGCAAAATTAGTCAAAGCAAATACACGCAAAGAAGGAAGTACCATTACAATTGCAAACCACTGAGTATTCTATTGCATCTGCAAAGATTATACACTATACAGAAAAATGTAATGCTTTAAACTAGATTTAAAAGTATATACATTGTAGAAATATACATCAATACAATTATTGCCAAAAGTAAGTAAACCTTCAGACAAAACTGTAATGTTTCATTTATGTGAAAATGATGTATAATAAATTCAATGCAAGACTTTTTCAGTGCGCAAAGATCATCTTGAAAATATCAAACATTTAAAACAATGAAAATGTTTCAGAAAAGAAAGAATATGGCAGCGAATAATCCAATAGTTAAAGCACAGTGTTCCTTAAAGAGCAGTTGCTAGGATTTTAGGTATTTCACTCATTACAGTGCATAATATTATTAAAAGATTCAAGGAATCAGAAGAAATCCTTGTGCGTAAAGGGCAAGGCTGAAAACCGCAACTGAATGCCCGTGACCTTCTATTTCTCAGATGGCACCGCATTAAAACTGACACACTACACCATATGGTAACTCACACATCTGTGAAAGTACCACTACAGCTTTTTACAACTGCTAACGAGCATTTTCAGTACTGTGTTCTCCTTAATAAAGGTCTTCACACAGTGCAACAACACTCTGATAGTGTTCACACTGGACAGTGCATTATGGGCCCAGCATATAATAAGGAAGTGCTTATTTGTATGTTTATAAACAAGAGGGGACATTAGTTGTGATGTGGATGAGGCAGATCAGGTACAGTAAGCATTTACAGAATCTATGATTTTTTCTTAGCTAGATAATGTAAAGTACTGGATTTTCTTAGTTTTTTTACTTCATTGGTTCTTCATTTGTTCATATACCATTTTGTTTTGTTGTGTATTTTCTGATGCAATGAGTCTTTTTCATTCACTGTAAAACAATATTTGCTAAATCAACCTAAAAAAATACTTTGTGTGGTAACAAACAATGTAACTGCTTTTATTCAGCTAAAACAAATACTTTCATTGAAACAATGCAAAGCAATAGCCTTCTAGATGCCATCTTTTTCAGGGACGTCCATGTTTATTTTAACATGACAATGCAAAGTTCCAATGCAGTTACAGAGCTTTAGTTTTCTATAATGTACAACACTTAATATTGCATTTTTGTATTGTTTTCAGTTTAATTTGAAACAGAATTTATTAATCAATTCTTTCCTTTGCATGCATAAAACCAAACCAATAAGCATCACTAAAAATCCACAAGTAATTCATTGGTATGAATTCACAAGTAATGCATTTAATCATATGATCTAGGCCCAGATTAGCCTAGTGTGTCAGGTTTTGATGGAAGGCAGCAGAACTTAAGTATGGCACAAGTCTGTGAGTGTGTGTGTTCATGCAGCTGTGAGACCACTGATATTGTGGCACTCTTTCCCAGTAATTGAGCAGATGGTTGGCAAGGCTAATGCCTACTGTGAAGTTTGGACTGGGTGAGTGGAAAAAATAGCTCTCCAAACAAACCTGGACCACAATTCAATAAGAATGCCTGTTCAGTAATGCCAGTAATTTACTGATAATCAGTGACTTGCTTTAGTGCAGACACTTCAGATATTCCGAAAACCGTTCACAACACAAACAACACAAGAACGATCATAGTTAAAAAACAAAAACATGTCAATGCATCCAAACCTACACTTTAGCATGAGAGTAACATAATATAAAAATATACTTTTCTCACAAATACATGTATATTTGCAGACAAGAACTGTGTGTGTATAAAGCAAAGGTCATGAAAGAACTCGGTTTTGCAAACTGCAAACTGCTTATGGACTACCAGATGAATTCATAAATGTACACCTAAAAACATACCTTTACGGCATTCAAAACATCTTTAAACGTGGTGTTTTTTAATATATGCATTGTGATGATTTTGTAAACCGTGACAAAAGATTACGTTATTAAATTTAGGTTATTAAATTTAGATCGGCACATGCATATTCGGCAATGTTTATCACATTTGTCATGGCAATGTTTATATAGTTTCAGACTGATTTTCTAAAACCTGACAATTTCAAACTGATAACCATATTTGCCAAAAAATCTGTCATATCAGTGAGTAAAGCACTACCTAACGAAACCTGATTTTATGAACATTTCATTATTATTATTATTATTTTTTTATTATTAAATTATTGGCCTAGACTAAAAGATATTGGAAAATTAAGCCCCTTAAAAACAGTACTGGTATTGATCACAAAATTTTCATATTAGTCAGGCCCTGAAGAGCACCCTGCAACGTTTGTCAACTTTCAACTTCTACTGTGCGTGTGGGTGTGTGCATATATAAAAAAGGCTGATTCCCTGAGGAGTGTTCTGAAAAAACACTGCTCCTCAGAGACAGCTTTTTGGCACTGAGAGACAAGGAGCAGGATAAAGGTCACTTTGTGCAGCGTGTCAACAATCATCTGCCAGCACAGCAGCAGTGTGTCTGGAGGCAGGACATCCGGCTGAGAATACCATCGCTCAAGTTTGCCTCATCTGGCACACTCCAACTAATGGCTTATCCCACAGCTTAAATAAGAATGGTGCAAAAAATGGGCCTGCACTGCCAACTGATTTCCATTAAACTGTACTGCTCCTAAAAAGACTAACTGACACGCAGGTCTGTCTGCTAATAGAGAGGCAACGAAAAATGCTGATCCAAGAGTTGCCAACATAGCAAAAATATATAATGATACTTTTTCTGGAGCTTGCAAACAAACTGGAACAGACAAAATGCATCAACAACAACACAAAAGAGTAAGTATCAAATTAAAAAAGAACTGGAGGGAAAAGACAACTGGTAAAACTGGTTGTTCGATGTTCTAGAAGTACAGATAAACAAAAGCTATAACAACAACATCTACTGCCAACTGCTGTGCTGTTCCTTACTGAAGGTTTGATGAAGGGTTTTAAGACTGAGTTCACCTGTTGCATGTCTCCTTCTGTGTAGGGAAGTTTGGTGGACACATGGAACATCACCTCCTTATTATGGAAGTTGTGGTAGACCGATTCTGTGCCTGTCTGTCCGTGTGTCACATCTAAGCCCCCTCGAAAACTAGAAAAGAGAGATCAGTTATACCCAAGCGTAATAAAAATCATGTACAGTTACTAAAAATACATGTTCCTGAAGTTAAAGTGCAGATTGCAACAGCAAGACTGATCTGAAGGTTGGTCTAAATATAGTCTCCCATCTGAACTTGCAGTATTCTGCAGCATTTGATATTGAAGATAACATGACAGACAGGGTTGAATGCGGTCTTCATGTTCAGAAAAGTGTCTTTCTTGGTATAAAGAGTGGCATAAATAACAATCAACTATTTAAAAGTTATCCAAATTATTGTTAAAACACATTTTAAAAATATATTGGCCCAAAGGTGGTTGAAACAGCTTAACAGAAACAGAAAGGTTTGAGGGTTTATTAGTGCAGACATCACAACAGTGAGATAAAATGTATGACATTTAGATTATTCCCAAAGTAATACTGCCACAAATATAGTCACAGTTAAAATAGTTTTTTTTTAATAATCTAGTTGATCTTTAACACTTTATGTAATTGCAACTAAACCAAGAAAACACAATTTTTATGGTTTTGAAAAGTCAAAACGTTTTAGCACTGAATGGATGTCTTACTGTGGTCAGCATCTTACCCTTTGAAGTCATGGAGCTCGATCTTCTGTCCCAGAAACTCTAAAAACTCTACAAAAGCAAGACTCTCTTCATTATTCCCGAACACCTCCTCCTCTGAAGTCTACATGGACAAAAATACACCACAAGATTTGCATTTAAGTGTCCTTGGCTACAAGCACTACAGCTCCTACAGCACCTGGGAAATTTCACAGGAAGTCGCTACAACATTATGTGAATCAGTGAACAAATATAGGTATTTTCCTGCTTTTTTAGGATGGTGAATTACAATAACATGAGAGCACAATGACACGGCTTTTGTTAGGGAGCGCAAAGCCGAATATTCAACAAATGCTAAACGAAGTGAACCTTTCCAAAGAGCATCAGCAAACAACTTGAGTAAGACAAAAGCCTGACCCGCTCTGATATAAACAGACCTACAGGGCTGGTTCATTATGATTCCCTATGAGCCAATTAGCTTGATGAAAATGCTAATTGCTTTCCTGAATAAACATAGTCTCTCATTTAGAAACGCTGAAGGGGGTGGAAAGGGGAGATGGACAAAGATAGAACGGGATGTTTTAGGCATGATGAAGTGTTGGACAGACATCTTTGTTTGTCTTTTTAAGGCTTCAGAAGCCCCTTTTGTGTGTGTGTGTTGTCAAGCGTAGACATGAGAGGAAGAGATCTTTTCTGCTGTTTCCACCTCACCTCCTCTGCCATGCTAATGCTGCTAGCGGTGGTCTTGAGAGCCCTCACAAGCACTCTCTTCCTCTGCCCACTGCTACTCTTGCCCCCCACCTTAAAGGTCAAGCGGCTGGGCCTATGCCATCAAGCCACTCAATCAGGCCCTCAGCGAACAATAGTGTTATGATTTTAATGAAAGAAGAGCAGACGTGATGTTCATGGCCTCGCTACTGTTCACTCACAGGAGGTATTACAAAGATGGAGGGAGCTTTTCAGCAGGCAGTGCCTTTGTTCACTCTGAAAGCCTGTTTGTCAGAGGATGAAATACATGGGTGGTATTTAAAAAAGGCTTTATTTGAATATAGATTCCTAAAGGATTTGATATGGACTACAAAAAACTTGGAATACTGAGTCAAATGAGGTCAACGATAGACCTCAATAACTTGGTTTACCAGAGACGTTATAAAGGAGATCTAGCATATTCTTACTGTATAATGTCAAACGCCCCCTTCGTGTTCATCCATATATGAGTTTCCCACTGTTGTTCCTTTTTTTCTCTTTCTACTTAAACAAGTAATCTTGTCTATTTCAGATAAAGTGTTTGAAATGAGGTGTCTTCCTTTCCACAACAGTCTGAGCCCTTTCGCCTTTTGTGTCAAAACATTGCATGTTACTATAACAAAAAAGCCACAAAATGTCTGAAAAGCTCCATATGCGAGTCAGTGTTGCAATCTTAGTGTTTACGTGTTCAAATCTATTTTGAATCTATTTGCTAAAAACAGCCTGTTTTACTTGGGCTAAGCACAGCTTGACTAAGACCTTAGTCATGACAATCAAACCATACTGTTTACATGTAAACACTTAGTTACACTTTGAGTGCTAGTCATACAAATGTCAAACTACTGATGTGTATGTAAATGTACACTATATGGCCAAAAGTATGTGGACAGCCCTCCTAATTATTGCGTTCAGTTGTTTCAGCCACACCCATTGCTAACAGCTGTAGAAAATCAAACACATAGCCATTACAGAGTTCCAAACTGCCTCTGACAGCAACTTCAGCACAAGCACTGTGCGTTGCGTGCTTCATGAAATGGGTTTGATGGTAGAGGGCTGGGCTTTTTACTTTCATTGAGGTGTAATGTTGATGCTACAGCACACAAAGACATTTTAGACAGTTATATCTTTCCAATTTGTGGCAACAGTTTGGCCCTTAACAAATTGTTTAATGAGTTTTGTGTGGAGGTTTGTTAGGAGAGTTGGGAACTCCAGTGAACACCTCTGGGATAAACTGGACCATCAACTGCTAACCAGTCCTTCTCATGAATAATCAGTGCCTGACCTCACAAAAGCTCTTTTGATTAAATGGGCACAAATTCACAGACAAAGTTCAAAATCCTGTTAAAAGCCTTCCTAGAAGTTTGGCCGCAAAGGGGAGGCCAAGTCCACGTTAATGGCGATGGTTTTAGAATGAGTTGTCCAACAAGCTCATATAGGTATGATGGCCACGTGTCCACATACTTTTGTACTGTATTGTGTAGTTAATCATAAAGACCCTCATGTGGGACCAACCTGTCCGAACTTCTGATATATTACTCCAAACTTGAAGTTGTTGCTGATGACATGCTCGTCAAAAGTGACAATGAGCCTTGAAGCCTGCGGGAAAAAACAGAAAGAACTTTAATTCAGCCTTCAGAGGTACACTGTCAGTGCAAAAATGCAGCATGCTGAGAGAGAGAGAGAAAGAGAGATGCACATCCATCTCCCCTTCTGCCCCCCCGCTGAATGACTCCAATGTCATAGCTTAATTAATAAGGACAAGATCTCATTGAGCCTTGGATTAGCAATTTCTCAGTTATGCATGTCATTTCATTGTAGCAAAATGATGCAAAGACAGAATATTGATTGCAAGAATAAAAAGTGTGGTGAACCCTTGCGTACCTTTGGGTAAAGCACAGGGAAAAAGCGGTCCACGTTCACCTCCTCACACACCAGCTGGGAATAAGAAAAAAGAACAAACCCTGATTGATTTTTCTCTTTTGTTCAAACTGTTTGTAGTGAAAGCGAAAACAGTGCGAGGGGCTCTTTTGTCCAAGCTGCTGAGATGGGGCTCCCAGGGAGCAAATCTATCAGTCATGTCTTTCAGAGTGAATCATGATTAATTACAAGGGCAGAAAATAATAGCGCTGACCACTGCACCCTGCCCAGTGCTGCATTCTCACCTTGGCCATCTGGACAATGTTGGGAAATTCAGTCAGACAAGATATCGGGATCACGTCGTGATACGTTTTCAATTTGGATCTGGAATCAAAAAAGAACAGATAACTGTACACACAAAATAAGACTGCAGCCCAGGGGCTTCATTTGCATTTTGTCTTGACATGCTTTAAAGGAACAAAAATGGAAATGAAACTAACAACTGATGGATGTAATTATAGAGCTGTAATGGATTTTTTCATCACTCAGTTATATTTGGTGTCAGTGTGCTGTCAGCTGCTGCAGCTATGTCACATGGGTAAGATGACAGCAATGTCCTGCAGTTTTCACTCCACCCACACACTGTCCTATATTGTCCATCTGGTGTCTAATTCGGAAATGAGGGTGCTGTGGACATGCTGTCCGTGTAATCTCAAGGGAAAAGTGTGTGATCGTGGGGGGTATTATTGTGTCCGGTAATGACTCATGGTTTCAAAATAGTTGCTGCCACGTCCAGAACAATCTCCATTTAAAATGTACACAAACCAGTGGGGGAGGAGATTATTTGTCAATGTTCTCACTGGTTATCTTTCTCTGCAGAAAGAAGAATAATGGGCAGATATAAAGCCGGCAGTGTCCCTCAAATGAAAAGATGTTTCAAAACAACGTCTTTTTCATCAAATGCTTGCTGAAGAACTACTAATTTATTCTGAGTCCTCTTCTTGCCTGCGAATGGTCTTAACTGCAGCACCAGTCGTTCTGAGACCTCCCCCTGCACAAAGGGGATTTCTAGTGGTGCTGAGACATAACTAAGTTCTTTTAAGTATGTTTACAACAGAATGTTCAATGGTGGCTCTGTTTCATTTCATTCTTTTGTCATTTGAAGTATACTGATGGCTTAAGACCCATGTGTCAAACACAAGGCCCATGGCACAATCCTATTCGGCCCGCAAAATTATTTTGATTGTTCTTTAATATTAGCCTGTTTCATCATGAGCTGCACTTCAATCCCCAGCATGCCTTGCAACGTAACTTGCGCTGACAAATCAACAGTCCCTCCCAACAACAATCTGTGAGACAGCAGTTTTCTACTCAATTCTACATCTCATATCACCAAACACACTAGCTGCATTTCAGCTGCAGTTCAACCAACATAAACACTTTAAAGACTCAGAAACTGAAAGAGTTAATGAACTTGCAGCAAAGAAAAGATGCCAGGTGTCTAGATTAAGCGCACAGGTAGGTTGAAAAGACCTACATCCTGGGGACATTTAAAGAGATCTAACAGTTTTCAGTCTCTAATGTGGCTCAAATATATAAAGTATTCAGACGTAATACCTGAAGGTTTACTACAAGGGACTATATTTTGCTGTCGATGTTTTGGCATATTAAAATGTAATTGCTCTCTGGCCCGTGGATTTGTTGATATTTTTTAACACGTCTCTTTTAGTGTTCAAGTTTGACACCTCTGGCTTGAGAGAAAGGGAGACTTGGAGCTTTGAGGGAATAGGTGAGTTACAAAGGAGCAATAAAGCGTACCTCAGCATCAAACGGAGGTGTTCCTGGTCCCCAATAACTTCATATTTAACAGAGAAGACCAGGTGGCCCAGAGCGCTGTCCACTGTGTAGTAATTAAAGTGCTCCTAATGACAGAACAGAAGGGAGAAGTGTGAGAATACACTCATCTTCTAAGACACACACAAATACCCTTCATGGTGCACACACACACACACACACACACATACACACACACACACAGACCTTCAACACATGCGTGCACTTTATTAAGATTCCCCCTGGGAATTGTATAGACCACTGCTTCTATTCACACATAGGGCTCATCCATTATGGAAATTTTATTAGGTTTCAGAATATTACGCTAATCTAAAGGCAAATCTAATATATCTCCATTAGAACTCCACTCTGAGGTACACGTGACTGGGTCACATTTGCTCGCTTCTCTTTTGTGAAGTTAAGTAGGAGAAATGGTCCACACAGTACAGGGCCATGTGTAATCCTTTTTGGTGGGAGGGTACAGACATCTGTCTTTCTTTAGTAAAATGCATTTTCCTATTCTCAAGAGAAAGGTTTTTTCTTCAAATGCAAATTTCTGCTCAAATCTAAGTGCATGCAACTGAAAAGCCAGTCAATATAAAAGCTGGCCATACCACACTAAGGGATAAAGCACACAAAGCCAGATGTACTGTTTTTTTGCGCCAAGTTTCATGTACAAATAGGACACATACAGCTCAAAAAGCATTTGCTATGTACAAAACTGGCATCTGGGCATAAGCATACATTTGTATGTACAGTATTTTGTTAAAGTCAGAGACCACCTTTCATTTATTTAATTTCCAGTCAAAAGTACAAGTTATTCATTTTTCAGGAAATATTTGTGAGGAGATTAAATATAAGAAGCTTCACTTGAAAAAGAATAAGGTAGTCAAAGGAAAATAAATGATACAAATGAAAAAGTTTCCTCCTGACTGGAGAAAAAAAACGAAAAGATATAAAGAAAATGTGACTCCTAACAGCTGTGCAAGACCTGGAAGACCATCAAAACTGTCACTATCAGATAAACAGTATTTAAAGCTTTCATCTTTCAAAGACGGAGAAAATCAATCTTCTCTGTTGCTTAAGATCTGAAAAGATCCACAGATGTTTCTGTCCACTGTGAGAAGACAGCTCAACTCTATGGGTCTGAAAGGATTCAAAATTTGCAAATCACTGTTATTGTTCTCAGAACAAAGGACTGGTCACCCTAGAGTCCAAACATCAACATCATCAAATGTGATTGGGACTACTTGGTTCGAGAAAAGCAGAAAATGCAACCAACTTCTAAGACGGCGGATTTCGGAAAAAAAACTACAGGCAAGACTCCTGAAAAGTTTGGAAGCAGTAACAAAAGCAAAGGGTGGACACACCAAATATATGTACATAATTTAGTTGTTGAGGCTTTTGTGAAGTTTTTTCCAGACGCTGAAAAATGAATAACTTGTACTTAAAGGCCATTTTTAATGGAAATTAAATAAAGTATTGTACATCTGGCCTAGAGTGTTTAGAAACATATTCCTCTTTTTGAGTCTTTTGCTGTAATGTGGACTGAAAGGCAGAGGCTTATCTCACCTTGCCCAGAAAATGTTTCCTGTATATCTTGGCGGTGGTGTTGCACTCCAGCTTGATGCGAGATGTGGGGGACAGGAGCAGCTCTGGGTCATTTCCGTTGCTCAACTCATGATTGGTGCCTTCAATCCAGTAGCCCCCAAACTGGGGCAGCAGAATCAAGGGGAAAGGGCTCTTCCTGCCCAGCACCTGACAGACAACACACCAATTAAGCCTGCCAGGCTACAAAATATATTGTTTGTTAATCGTAATCACAATATAGGCCTTATCATTACTGACGTTATAGAATGCTGTAATATGCAAATGAGTCTCTTTAACAGGATGAAACAGTTCCTGGGGTGCTTCGATCAATCAGATGCTTTACATAATCCAACCAATGTAAATAATTTTGGTGAAAACGATGCGCGCTGATCACTAAACAAGTTATGTCATGAGTTCACTTACGCATTATGTCAGAAGGTATTTTGTAACTAGTATCTAGCAATATAATCACATTTTACACACAATTTATTTGTATTGTGCAGACCTTGAAGCTAGGCAAAGGAAGAAAAGTTGATACATGTATTCTATCCTACCTCATGGACACTGGGATATGGGATGTAGTCTTCCTCGGTCTATAAAGAAAACCAAATACACATATTATTTCCTGTATTTTTCTCACTTGACATTAAATGTCTTGAGAAACATACTGCAAGACACAATATTCAGAACTGCATTTAAATTTACAAACTGTTAAATATTTTATGTTAAGTGCTTAGATGCATTTTGGAAAATGATGTCAAGCTAAGCATGTGCTGTCCATCGGGCCAACAATTGAACCATTCTCTTTGTTCCAATCTTAGTGCATTCAGAAGCCCTAATTCTCCGCTGCTCATTTTGATTCATTACACACAAAATGGCCTTGGGCAGAGAATATTGCTCAGCAACAATTCATCTCATTTGATTGGATCTCTATTAGTTGGTGTCTGAAAGAAGGGTTATTGCTGTCTCTGAACACGGGACTTCTTTGCCTGCCTGATAACTGGCCCTTCCATTTGAAGCTGTCTGCCGGCAGATAAGAACACCAGCTTGAGACAATTGGGGCTGTGTGTGAGTTTTGGTGGGAGTGTTTGTGTATAAGGGCACGAAGATGGAAGAGGTGGACCTACTTTGAGAGGGGGTGGAAGGGTACTCCGCTGTTCATCCATTCTGTTGCTCTGAAACATAAAGATAAAGAAGAAGTAATGAGCCTGTCAGCATGCTCTTTAGCTAACAGGGCATTTATCCAACGTTATGCTGCATTTAATGAGAATTAAGTAGTTTAAATCTCATTAATCAAACGGAAATACAGTACTGGGTAAAAGTCAGGACCAACTTTCTTTTATTTTAATTTAGAGTCAAAAAGGGCATTTGGTTTTTCAGCATAACGAAAAAAGCAGAAGACATTTAATGGAAGATTACACAGAAGCTTCAACCACATCAAATTTTGCAGTATTTGGCGTCTTCTCTTTGCCTTCATTACAACTTCCACTTTTTTCAGGTGACTTGCTTTGAGTTTCGTAAGTCAGTTGCATTTTCTGCTTCTCACGATCCAAGTAATCCCAAACACATTCAATAAATTGAAGTTTGGTCTCTAGAGTTGACAGTCCATTGTTCTGAGAACACCTGCAGCATCTTTGTTTTACAAATTTTCTTCTCTTTTTGTCCTTTTTGTCTATGTCCTCTCATAGACAGATGGAAGGATGGACAGAAACGTGTAGATTTTTTCACTCTTGCTTTCACGTATCTGAGGCACGAGTGGAACTTGATTTTCTCCTCTCTCTTAAACATTAAAGTTTTAAGTACTGTTGTGGTAGTTTTGGTGGTCTACCACATCTTGCACGGTTACCTTGTTTTCCCTCCTCTTTTGCACTCTGCACTTGCACCTAATGTAAGTGAATTATCTCATACGTAATATCCTCAGAAATATCTTCTACAAATCACTTACTTATACATAATCTTGTACTTAATGGCCGTTTTGACTGGAAATGAAGTAAAAGAAGGGTGGTCTCTGACTTTGCAAAGTACAGCATATCACAACATTTGTCGCTCCAAAAATCAATGGAAAAATTGCATATAAAAAGTATTATATTCTTCATGTGTCTTTCACTGGTAGCATTAAATGCCAGGTGCACTAGCTGAGGAACAATATTCAGACAGTGAAAAACAGTGTAAATGTTTAATGAAATGAGGAAAATAATGAGACTGAATATTACACACAGAACAAAGCACTTAGTGTTACACAGCATTTGCCAGAGGCATACTGCGGGGAAAGTGTTCACGGTCAGAAAGAGGCTTAGAAAGAGAGAATTATGCAGAAATAGTATCTTATTCACATTTTTGGGGAACACTATACTTAATCAAACATATTAAAAATGTATAAAGAATTTATAGCAGCAATATACTTAAAAAGAAGTAAGAAAAGTACATTTCATAAAAATAAATGCAGAGTAATGCAAGAAGGATAGGGCAATGTCAGCAAGCAGAGCGAAGATATTTGAGCTTTCTGTTCCACTCAAACTCAGTGAATGTCAAATGCTATATATGTCAATATCGGATAGTGAGGCCAGCATGTTAAGTGCTAATATTATATTTTGATTGAATGTCAGAGTGCAAAAATGAAATCTCTCACATGACAGTTCAGCAGTCTGACAGGAGGAGACCCTGGGTCACTGACACAGATTGCAGCCTCACAAAGGTCTCAGAGTTCAGAGAAAGCCCACAGGCTGTGAGTGACCCTGACTGTGTTATGAATCATATGGGCTCTGATGCCAGTTGTGACTTTGTGTCTGAAATGAAGGAACACTATCTCCAGAAGATTTTCTGAATGACATCACGGTACCAGTCACCTTTCATTCCTTACATGACACTAATTATGTCCTGTTTCTTGCTTTTTTCTAAAGTACATTCTGTTCTAGATCCTCAAGCTGTAATGGCAGACTATTAAAGGCAAATGTTCCTAAATGGTTCTAGGCTTGGATGCACGGTTTTAGTAGAAACCTTTAAAGTCCCAGGGAATACAGTGTAAAATAATAAAGATGATTGGATGATCTTAAAACTGAGTATATTGTATTAAATATCCAGCAAAGTTTTAAAGAAAAAACAAGATAAAATATAAAAAAACATGGCTTAAAAACCATCAGTTGATGAAAATGCATATCATGGCTTGGAATTTACATTTAGGTATGTAAATATAGTTAATAATTTAGTGCTGATTATTGTTGATGTCTTTTTTAAAGCAAGCACTGTAGAGTCTGTATTTTAAAAAGTAAAAGGTTCCTTCTTGAAAATGGCACAGCCAATGAATCTAAGATAACCACTCAAAATTCAAGTCTTATCCATGTGTCCATCCACGTAAAGGGGCCTATTCAAATGAGCCTGCAGATTTTTTCACTCAACTAAGTAAGAAACTATAATGATAAAAGTTGAATGTGTAGTATCAATGCCAACTGATCAGCTAATTTAAAGTACAGACTTTTTAAAGTTAGAATCTATTACTTAGCTAGCAACTGATTCAATCTGGTAGGTTGGTAGCCAGCTGGCTAAATTATTATCTCTACAAAGCAGAGAACTATCTATTTAACTGAAAGCTAAGTTCAAGGATCAAACATTGATTGCTAATATGGACATCTCTGAAGGTTATTAGTTTTTAGGAAATTAAACATGAAAGTTAGCTACCTTACCTTCCTTATTTAGCTGGTGTTAGTTAGCCAGTAAGCTATTTAACATCCAGTTTATTTAGCTAAATTACCTTATCTGCAAAGCTGCAAGCTAGCTACCAGAGTAGCACATTAAATTAGCTAGCTAGCTGAAACAATGTCATAAAAGTACATTTTAAATGTTTAATTTCAGAAATACTGAGAAATACTAGATAACAGCAATGAGAGTAGAGAAGAGCACCAAGAAACACACACCCAGCGTTAAAGAGAGAATATTTCTGATATGTACTACATTTATTACATATTAAGAAATTAACATATTGGAATCTTTTTTAAAACAATAATGTGGCACAATACATGTATCTTAACATCATATTGCTTCTCTGATATGCATTTAGTGTCCATAGTACAATACATTTCTCAATAATATCAAATTCTCATTCAGTACAATAGATCTATACTATGAAATTAACCTGTTATGGTGCTCATTTCTTTACATTTCATCATAATTCTCAAACAGAACTATTTTAATCAACATGCTTCTGATACAGATGTGGCTAATGAAACCTGTGCAAATATCTGAAAAAAAAGGAATTTAAAATAGCATAGCTACTACACTGTATCACCCTGAAACAGCTGCCTTCATATTTATCTACAGTGTCATGTATTATAAGTGTTTATGATAAGAGAGGCTGGATCTTGAACAGTGCAGTGAGGTGTTTACTCCAATGTGGATTTATTCACAGCTGGAACCTTATAATTCTAAACTTAAAGAGAGCTATCAGAACTAAAAGGTTCTGCATATCTGCGTTTGGTCCCTTCCATAATATCTTTGGATTTTAGTGTTCAGTGGTCAAAAGTATCTCAAGGAAACGGCTATGGAGTTTTTCTATTTTGAAAGTTAGAGATTCTAGACGATATGCAGGTTGTGTTGTAGGCCATCTCTGCTGTGTACACAGCTCACTAAAAAAACAATATCTAGTGTTTATAAGTTCTTCTTTACTTTACTTATAGATGTGCATCCAAGGAATGCTGGGATAGCCGGATGAACAAGCAAATAAACGAAGAAAAACAGATGGACAGACGGACCCATGAATGAACAGATAGATAGTTCAGCTGGCTTGATAGCTCAGTTATGCTTGATACACTCTTAAAAAAGAAGGTTCGTCAAGGGTTTTTTAGTAAAGTTCATGGTAAATTGAATAACACATTCTCCATCAATCTGAAGAACGATTTCACCAAGCAAAGCACCCTTTAAGCATATAAATGGTTCTTTGAGTGTTCATGGTTCTATATAGAACCACTGTCTTTACTGAAGAACCCTTGAAGAATTTTCTTTTTTAATAGTGTAGGTTAGGTTTTGCACGGCCATAGCTTTGTATGTTTCTCGGCTACTTAAAATTGTTTACATCTAAAGAGGAAATGTTGGTTAAGTACATCGGCCATTTAGGGCACTGGAACGTTATTCATAGGACACACAGTACTTTGTACATTGTGCCCACAAGAGCAAAATTAACCTACTACAAAAGAAAACACAGATTAAGGTTCCCTGGAGCTTTAATTGGTTCAGAACCTATACATCATGAGGAGTTCTTTAAACTCACATCTCACTTCAAAAATGCTTCTTTAATGATCCATTCACTGAAAGGTTCTTTAGTGAACCAAAAGTGAGTGGTTCTTTTACGGCACCTTTATTTTTATAAGTGTGCTGTCAATCAGGATCAAAAATCAACGCCACAGTGTTCCAAGCTGTGTCATGTGCAAAGCAAAGTTTACAGAATGGTAATTTTTCTCTAAGGGTTCCAGTCACCTATTAGTCAGAGAAGAATAATGACAGCAAGTGGTTGAGAAAGAACCTGCTTTAATCTACATTTCAATTACATAGGGATGCTAAATGAAGATGACTTTGGCACTGATGACGACTAATTCTGCATTCCTCAGAGTTAACAGATGAACTTTGCAGCACAGTGATGTACTGTACATTTGAAAGCACAGGACTGAATAATGCAACAGTGTTCTCATTATATCTACATCACTGACCTTCAGAAGAATGCAAAAAGCAAACAAATGCAACTAGGTAACCAGCCTTGAGAGCTGGTTCCGGGGTTAGTGGAAGACATCTGAGCTCAGAAACAGAAGGGGAAGAACAGAAAAGATAAAAGAAATACTTTACCTGCATTCTCTCAATCATTTCAAACAAATCAGTAGTCTGAAAAAGGGGGAGAGGAGATGAGATGAGATGAGATGAGTGAGGTGACAAATGATTAAAATTGAGATGTGAGAGCTGAGCCCTAGATTATGTTACATGATCTAAGTAGGGCAAAGCTGAGGACAGGGAACACATTGCAGCTCTTGGATTTATTCAATATCTCCACAGAATTCATCTGTTTCACTTTATTATGCCACTATATCTATGTTTCAACTTTTCTGACCCTCATTCCTTTGAATTTGATTGCCATATCTTTGAATCTAACTTGGCAGGCCTATTTCAAAACGCCTCTTCTGTTCAGAATAAAAAGTAACCAATGAGGTTAATGGGTAATCAACTCAAATCCTGGGTTGCACAGTGACCTTAAACTGGTGCAGAAACTAGTGTTGAGGTCATTTAGTAAAGCACAATGTTAGTGGAGCCAAGTACACTGGCATTTCTAGCAGCAGGAATCAGGTATTATATGTCAGCAAGATCCCACTGCTGATATCTCTATGAGGTGATGAGATGATGACAACTGCTGTATATTACATTTTCCCTTATACTTTCATAGACTTCATAGATGAGTGTGCACTTCCATACCATATTTTTTCCATTTGATGAATTTTTTTTTTACTTTACGCAATACAAGTTTTTTCTTTCTTTTTCATTATTTTTCAGGAGACTAGCTTTCAGTTTTTCCAAGAAATCCACAGGGACTCCAAAGTTCAGTCTTGGAAGCTGGCTGCATTTACTGCTTCTCACGATCCAAATAATCCCAAACACATTCAATAATGTGAGGTCTGGACTCTGTGGTGGTCAGTCCATTGTTCTGAGAACACCAGCAGCTTCTTAGTTTGATTTGAAGACTTTTTTTCTTGTCTATTCCTTTTTAACTGCTCTTTGACAGCGACACATCCTTTCAAACTCAAAGTGTTGAGCTGTCTTCCCAGAGTGGAAGGATGGACAGAAACAAGTGTAGTTTTTTAGATTTGAAGCAAGAGTGGATCTTATCTCATAGTGACAGTTTTGGTGGTCTATCAGGTCTTGCACAGTTCTTGTGAGTCCCCATTTCTCACTTGAGTTTAGAAACCTCTGTTTTCTCACTTATTTTCCTTTGACTTTCCCCCTTATGCGACTACATTATCTCATTTCCTCAGAAATATCTCCTGAAAAATGCATAACTAGTACTATTTGGCTGTTTAAAATAAAAATTAAATAAATGAAAGGTGGTCTCTAACTTTTACACAGTACTGTACACAAAAATAACTTTTCATCAAATTCAAATTAAGTATGTCTTCTACTCTTGGGAGCATTAATGTGGTATCAATTGAAAGAATGTACAGAATATGCTCTTATGACAAAATTCTGCTACCTGATTCAGTGAACTGAGTGAGAAATTACATCATGCTTTCATTATTGTGCGCGATAACTGCAATTTCTAAGGATTAAATCGGTTGTGTAGCATTACCATTGCCCTACAAGATTGTGTGTTGTAAGGTCAGATCTTTTATACTGACATTTCAATCTGGATTAGTGGCTTTGGGTGGAATTTATTTCCTTATGCCAAATTATGAAGGGAATTACTTCTGTAAGCTCCTTTGAACTAAATCGTCCATATCTTTCAGCATCAGACTTACTAGATATCTTTGCCGTTCCTGTATTCACAGCAGTGTACAACTGTGCACAACACTTATCCTGTGCTCCTTTACTAACTACAACCAAACTTATCTTTTTCAAGTAGAGATGGAAACGCATCAACATACATACTGTTGCATAGCACCAGTACATTTCTAATTACTAGAAGCAGGAGGAACTCAATTTACTTCCATGCGAGAGAGATCAGTCCAGGACCTGGGAGAGACCCAAACATAACACAAAAGAGCAGGGCCACCGATCTTGTGTGTGTAGAATGGAGCCTGAATGACTTTCTTCTCACAGACTTGAGCAAACAGATTGTGTACTGTAGCACATTGTTTGAGTACATTGTGTTAGTCCTCCGCCATATGCAAACAGACTCTATTTCTGCCTTGAAAACAAACATTAGAAGAAAATTAGCAATGCCAAGCAAAATACCAATAGCACAATCTCACTTGGAGAGAATGTGTGTGTGTGTGTGTGTGTGTGTGTGTGTGTGAGTCTGTAGCTGATGACCCACTTACTGTACTTCACTACAGAGCTTTCACACACCTCTCATTTATTGGACAACAGAATTAAACAGCAGGCAGAAAAGCTTTGTCAAAACATAATAGCCAAAACTCTACACCACGTGCTGCTCATGATCCCAACTCAGCACATCCTCCTTCAGCAAACATTGCTACAGTCATAAATGCACACTGCTTTCAAATGACCAAATGCAAAGCTAAACACTGCACCATGCTCCTTTTTCTAGCCAAAAAGTTTCAGTAAAACTACAAAGTTGTTGTAGTTATAAACCTAGAAAAATTTCTAAGTAGATAGTAGGGGTGTAACAATATACTCAGTCCACAATTAATTTCCGGAAAATTTAGTTTACGATTTGGTATTCTTTGGGCTTGTGAATTTGTGTGCAATGTACCATCGTCCAATCACCGTGGACGATGGTCCATGGTGATTGGACAAGTGACCGAGTGACGATTCCATAATAACCTGTTTCAGCACTGCTTAAACTGGACAAAATAAACATGTCGTTCTTTGACAGAAACTAACTTGGTTCTTGGTACAGTTTGGTAGTGCAGAATGATCTAAAGTCTGATAATATATCAGGACATTTTAGACTTATTTTAGACATTAAATAACATTGAAAGAAAGCTACATTATAGAAAACAGATTGTGAGAAGAATATAATTACTTTTGTGAATTTTAAAGCCATGGGCATTTTCAGACATTTAAATCTTACAAGACTGACTTTTGGAATAGATGAAAACTACTGGTGACTCGCAATATTATAATTAATCTGCTCAAGCCTAATATTCTTGCAATATTTTGAATAAATTTCCAAAAGTCCATTTCCATTATGGCACAGTTGTACACTGCAATATGACAATGTCATGATACTTTGTTACACGCTTAGTAGCAAGGGTGGGGCAATATGGCAAAAATGTAATACCACTTGGATGCTTGAAGACATTTTTATACACAATGCATGTCACAATATTTTATTTTTATGAAGATTCATCGATCAGAACAAAAACAGTGCTGCTACATTTAAAAAATGCTCAATGACTTAGTACAGTGATATTTTTCATCTAATATTTCATGTGTTGTGCATCACATCCAGTTACGCAGCACCACTTATGCAGACATGGAATCACTGTTAAGTTACGCAGCTGGTCAGAATTCTTTAAGTACTGACGATATCCACAACATGCCTGGGAAAGCTTATCATCACATAATTTAACTTAATAATTTAATTTAATATAACAATATAATGTTGTCGTATCACGCACCCTTATGAGTAGCACATTCTGTAACCTGCTGTATGTTTTTATACTGCCTTCAACACGCAATACAAAGCAGAACAGGAAACTGCACCACTGACCAGTAAGGATACTATGGTGTAAAATGCATTTTCATGTGACTGATCTTTAACATTTTAGAATTGATCTTTAGTCTGCAGTGGTCAGAGTGATTGATCTGTCTCCAAGAGCTGTGAAACTGCTTCACTACTAGCTACTGATGCACTTCAATTCAACATCCGTGCTCAGATGCACAGGATCGATTCTCATTCCACACTTTCAGCTTCAGCCCTCTATGACTTTTCTTAAGCTTCAAACATCTACTTACAGTTCCAGGCCTTTTCCAGTGCTTCACTGTCACATGGAGTGGACTTGGATAAACGCTGTGATCTTTTGTGGCCATTCTGAAGCGAAGTCCAGCGTATTAATAATCCTTTACCTCCAATCCAGATTGGTTCAGGGTACTATCCAGAAGAGCTTTTCAAGGATTTCCAAGAATACTTTCTGCTTTCCATGAGAGTGAGAAGAAAAGTCCAAACCGTCCACCCTGGAGTGTAGGAGAGTGTTCCATCACAGCAGTGCGAGAATGCCTCTGATGAGTAAACTTAAGTGTGTGTATGCTCTGCGAGATGTGAATCTGCACTGTATGTGTGTGTTTGTCTTTATAAGCATAAAGGTCTCCAGAGTCTGTGTTGGAGACAATCAATATCTCAATATCTTTCCCTCTCTCTGGACTGATGTTGTGGGAACTGGCAAGAAAAGTCTTGCATTCCTCTCGCACTGTGTTAGCAGCTCTTCTCCCACATGTTCTCTCTCTCTCTCTCTCTCTGTTTGGTAGAGGTGTAGAGGTGGAGCTGAAGCACAAGTTATGTACTCCCTCAGCCAGACAAGCCTGAGCACAGCACACCCAAAGAAGCTCTGATGCAGAGCGGGTAAAGCCCTATGCCAGTCTTACAAAAGGTGCTGGTCATTTTATACAGGGTGTTTTACTTGGGAGTTGGGCTAAATAAACCTGGTTCTTGACTAGTTCTCAGTGAGATGTTACCTTCAATAACAACATCAGTAAGATCAGAAGCTGACAGAGGAAAGCCTGTGTATTAACAGTAGTCTGCAATACTCTTAATCCCTTAAAATCAGAGGCTTATTACATACTAGTACTTATTAATTAGTAACTACAGGGACTTCAGTGCGAATTTGGCTTTGCCATTCTTAAGTTATATTGTGTAATAAAACTTTGGGCCCACCAGCAGGCTCTGGCCATATAAGGGGTTAATCTTTAATAACACATAGTGTTATTATTCCCATGATCTTACTCATAACAATACATACCTGCATACAGTATTCTTCTACAATAAACTTTTACTTGCACATTTTTAAACATCACATTAATGACTATCTCGAGTTATTTTATATATACGTATTCAGTGTCATTCAAATACACATTTGTGTATGTTGTAGTGTCTTGTAGGCATCTTGTGCATTCTGTAATTTTCTATAGCTTCTCATAATGTACATGTATGTGATTTTACACTTTGCTTTAGAATTACCTCATTTATGTCCAAGAAATCAATCAAATCATACGGCTTAAAAAAATTTGAATTTTAACAAAATTTTACCAAAACAACAGAAAAATTAATGTAATTGTAAATTTTTTAAATAATATAAATAAACACTTACTGAAAGGCTGTGATGACAGAACAGATCAAATTCTCTGCAGTGCTAGAGCGATGTAATTGCACTAATGGAACATATTCTTCCTTGAAGCCTTGGCGGAAACATTATATTTACGAAATGAGCACAAGTTCTCAAACTGATTTGAGAATGAGTTTCTTCGATGAGCTCACTCTTCTTGATTAAGTTTTTAAAAATCTCACCATGCCTTCTGCCGTGAATGTACTATATATTCTCTCCTGTACTCGCGTCTGCACTTGCGTTGCCTGCTATCGCACAGGAAACTGTCTTTTTCAATTACATTGTTAGTTACAATGATAGTTTTGGCGTTTTTTTGGTTCATGCAAGATTCTGACTTGCAGCATATATGTGAAATAATAATGAAAATAAATAAATAAATGATCACTACAATGCCTTTCCGTGGTTACAGCCCTGCGTGTGCCAAGCTCTCATATCCTTTTCTTTTCAAACTGAAATGCAAATAAAATGCAGAGCGAAAACAAACACTGCAGCAAAACAAGTAGAGAACGAAACAGAACCTGCCACCTGCTCACTGATTCACCACATGTTCCATCTGCAGCTCAACATTTTGGTCATACGACTCTTTTTTGATAAGACTCTAATAAACATAATGTTGATGGCTCCTGCAGGCCACCCGGTTCCGTGGAAACAAGGAACTGCAATCAACTCATGAAAGGATGTCAGTGGCAAAGTATCCGGTGCTTGAAGATATGGTTCACGAGTACACACACGTACACACTGTCTAAACAGCGATGACTCGTCACAGCTCAATATCAGCCTCATAACTGGTATACTGCAGTCATCTAAGCCACATTTAGTTGATAACAAGCAAAATAAATGCACCCAAAATCGATCATTGCAGTAAATAGCAAACTCCTTCCTTTATTGATTATGGTGAATAAAGTTGCACACGCAATAAATGAGAGTACGCAGGTCGACTAAAAATGTATGTGCACACAGTACTGAGCAGAAGTCCCACACTATACTTTATTCGATTAATTTCCAGTCAAAATTGCCATTGCTAAGTACAAGTTATTACATTTTTCAGCATCAGGAAAAAAATAGAAAACATATATTTAACAGGGAATTATGCAGAAGGCAGAAGTTTTCAGTTTTTTACAGCATCCATACTTTTCAGGAGACTTGCTTTCAGCTTTTCAAAGAAATCTGCAGGGTTTTTTTTTCATATTTTCAAAGTTCAGTCTCAGATCTTGGTTGCAATTTCTGCTTCTCATGGAGCAAATAATTTTAAGCCTATTCAAAAGCTTTAAGTATGGTTTGTTTGATGGTGACAGTTTTGGTGGTCTACCAGGTCTTGAACAGTTGTTAGCAGTCCCATTTTTTTCTATAACTTTCAATAAGTTGTTAAATTCCAGTTTTGGAAACTTTGACTTTCCCTTTCCTCATGCAAGTGGATTATGTTTTATCTAATCTCCTCAGAAATATCTCCTGAAAAATGAATAACTTGTACTTAATGGCCATTTCAACTGGGAATTAAACAAATGAATGGGGGTCTCTGACATTTGTGCATTTCTGTACAAAAAGTCAATGTTTATACATAGTAATTTAAATGATGGCTGCACACTAAGGTCAATGAATGAACTAGCAGATTTGCATGTCAAAGAGAGTGGTTTTAAGGTCCAAACGTGTGCCTTAAATAAGTTTTTCCCAGGTGAAAAGTACATATTTGTACATTTTCATAACCTAATGTTTTAAAACAAAACAGTAAAATAAAAAGCCTGGAAACGAGACAGTACAACTTAGAAAATGTAATTTCAATGGATTATTGTACAATTATGTTCTCTGACTATAGGTACTGAGATGTACCTTTGAGGGTACCACCCCAGTGACAAGAGGGGTACTGCCCCAGAGACAGTTTCATACCTGTTTTTCTGAGAGTGCATGATAACTGCGATAACTGCGCACTGAAACATCTCCATTTCCTTGCTAATTCATATTTAACTGCTTTGAGGAAAAGAAGCAAAACTGTGTGCAGTAACCTGAGTCTATACCTGCCCTCTAAGCCATGAGTCATCTAAGCTCATCTTCTAAAGATGTGTCAGCGCTCAGTGCTGTCCTGGTGTGAGCTTATTAACCAGTGGGCCGGCAGTATGACCAGAGTCTGTAAAGATCTTGTAGATCAGGGCTCATCCATTCTGGTCCTGGAGGGCTAGAGTTTAGCACAGTTTGGTGATTTTGGACCTTCAGGAATAAAACCGATGTTCCAGGAGTACTGTAGACTACAGCACAGGATCTTTCAGGACTGTCCAGACAGTCTTAAGCCAGAGTGTCTAGTCCCAGCTGGGCCTTAATCCAGAATAGTATAGTATTTCCCTGCTCAATGATACTAAGCAGTTATCAGGTTTAGCAGGTATGTTAAAGCAGGAAAGAAACTGGACACCACTGGTCCACAGAGAGGGAAGACAGTTGCTGAGAGATGTTGTGTGTCATCAAGTCACATAGTGACAGGGGTCTGGCCAATATCTCCGTACCATTCTTCAAGAAAGATCTCCACCTCTGCCTCTATGATGCTAACTGCTATGTTATTACGCTGTGTTTTCCTTAAATCTTTCCTAAAAATCATGTCCACTGTGTCTCCTTTTCTAACATTGCATCTCCTGCCTGTAATTAAACTCTTTATTGTTAATAATGAACCCTAGTATCCTGGTGCCATCTGCAGATGCTATTATCTGATTGCTGCCATGCTTAGTAGCCCAGACACAACTCAGCTTTGAGTATCAGTAGTACAAATCAATGAACAAGACAGCTGAGAACGCTATTAGTGATAATGAACCTGGCTGGTGGTGCTCAGCTAGAGAAAGAAAAAAGAGATCATCCCGAGAGACTGCTGTGATAAATAGTAGCGCTCAAAGCCAGGAGAACTGTGCAAACATTTCGTAATGTGCTATCACAACTTCCTAAAGTCTTCCAAAGTTTTACATCCCCCTGTGTTCTGAGCAGCATTTTAAAGCATACTAAATGCATACCAACATCAACATGATGCATTTGAAGCTTGGAAGCACTTTGTTATAACAAAGCTTAAAACTGCCGAGTTCCTTGATAAATGAAGTATCCTCAGGGCTGGGTATCTGGGTCTAACGCAGTAAATCTATTTAGCTAGTCACAGAAACTTTCAAACTTTCCAGCAAAATGATGAAGCACTCATTCTGCAGTTTCTCTGGCAGCCAAACTTATACCCTACTCCATATTCATGACTCTGTGCCGTGAAATATCTCGCCTGACTGCAATGTCAGAGCCGTCCATTTACACTACGCATGAAGGAAGGTTATTTAAAAGGAAAATCAGAGTGTAGAATTGGGCTGTCACCATTGAATACATTAGTATTCATGTAAGCTACAGATTACTTTGACAATGAATTGAGTAATTAGGCTATTTAAAAAAGCCAAACTATGGATGTAAATGATTAACTGACAAAAAAACTGTTCAACCAATGCAACTGGTTAAAAAACACTAACTTACTGTCTGCTTACTGTATACTTGCGTATACAGAACTTTCAGTATCCCATCATTGTATATTCTAGTCATTGTGTCAACTTTTTTCACCGGGTTCTTACACAGGGCATGTTTAATATGGTTTTGGGCCATTTATTTCATATACATGCTTATGTCCAACACTCACCAGAGGTTCATTTGGTCCATATCTTTGTGCCCTAATAAAGAATTCAATTCATGCATCAGTATTTTACAATGACTGTGAACATAGCTCAGTCAGTCAGCTTTTAGATCTGAAAGTTTCTGTCTTATAACTGATATTTTGAAGGGTTGCCTCCTTGTTAATAATTAACAATTAATCTGCAACTAATGACGTTTTTTTACCAGGTGATAGAATTTGCCAAAAACTGCATTCCTACAATAAAAAATGGACTTACCCGAACCACTCCCACAACTCCTTCTCTCTATCTTATGCCCTATAAATCCTGCTCTCCTCCTTCAGTTTCCCTTGACGAAATTTCAAACCCCACCACCATCTCATCTCCTCCCAGAACTCTAGCTGCCCAAAACTCCAGCTCAAGCCTTTCAGAGTCTCCAATGACTGCAACAAGCTCAGTTTGGGGTGTGATCTGTACTCACAAAAAGAATGTAAAAGATTCCAAAATACGTCATAGGAGCAACATAAAAAGAGGTCTGTAAAAGAGACCAATTAGAATTGAAAAGATATACTGTCAACACGCAAACTGCTGACTAATTAATGATGACTCATTGAGAAGGTAAATCAAGGTTTAATCAAGTAATCGTGACAGCCTAACTATAGA